TCGGAGTAATTTTAACTCCAGACTGGGAGTAAAAAGAACTCTTTTTCAGGAGTAAAAATGACCCCAAATTCGGAGTTAAATTAGGAGTTAAAATAACCCCAAAAAAGGGGTTATCCTGTACCTAAAATTTTTACTCCATTTTTGGAGTTATAATAACTCCCTAAAAATTACGGTGTAGACAACTGGCAATCATGTCTCACATCGGATAGCGCTTGGAACTGTTAAAAGTTTGTACACATGACAGTAACTTGATTTATTGCACCTTAATGCACTTCTCCAGGCTTCTGTATTTTCACATTTAATGGTCAAAAACTCGTCTCTATAACATCTTTTCTGCTGTAATCTTCTGTGTTCTTTGGGTAAGGTTTTTCCTCACTTTGCAATTTGGTTTCTGGGTGAACTTTAATAAAGTTGTGGTTTGACGATATGAGGTTTGGATTAAGGTGTACCTCTACGGTTACTTCATTTATTGTATAGTCTACGCCCTCCCTTGAATCGTCTCCACCATCATCTGTCCCCTTAGACGGTGAATGTTTGCACTCCAACCATGCAGACTTGACAGGCCTCTTAGATCCTGGTTCTTGTGATGATAGGCTTTTGCGCAGTGTCATTAGTTGATCTCCATTTTCGTTGTTTTGATTTCCACAATCTTGTACCCTTTCACAATCCAGTCGTGCTTGTTCAGACTTATTAGAGGTTGTTTTCACTGCTTCATTCTGCACTTTCTTCGTCTCTTTAAAGGGCGACTTTCCACAGGGATCTTTAAGAAATTGTTTTAGTGCAGAACGAAACCTTCTGTTTCGGAAGCAATAGAGGACTGGATTGATCGCGCTGGATATGGAAATGCTGAACATGGCTAGGAATCGAGGCCATTCCGTATCTTTGAAAAACTGACCAGCCAACGCTACAATCAGAGGGGGCGGAACGTTGCATAGTAGAAATACCCCGACTGTTATGAGGACAGTTTTAGCCGCTTGGATGTCTATTTGCAGCCTGGCCTTCTCTTGCAGTTGAGGCAGATTTAACCTTTTTCTCTGTAAAAGAAAAAAGCAATGACAGCAAAGCTAAGAAAGTGACAATGAGAAAACCTAATGTATTTTCATGTGAAGAAATCTGGTTAAACTTCCTCCGACCTCCTCTATATTCAAATTCTTTGCGTTTACTCTCAGCATTTGCATGCACGAATACGACATTAAATTTCTTAATTTCACATTTTATTGAGAACGTAAGAAACGACTGCAAAATGTATCTTCTTTTCTTTTAACTTGCACTTTTTCTAAAGACTTAATTTGAGCGCCGTGTTGTTTTCGCTGTCCGCCGTCATGGTATCTTAAACTCCCCAATAGCACAGTTGTAAGGTCAATTTCTTGTGAAGCAGGTTGTCATTTAACAATATGTCTCAGTCCAAATGATCACATCTATAGTCACTGGCTTGCAGTTGGCTTTGTCTCATTTACCCTTCTTTAACTAGTAAATAGGAAAGGGAAATAAAAGACTCCCACTACTGTTGGAAAAGAGCAGAGGAACTGTGGGAGTTAGTAACAAAACGCATGCGAGAATCTTAGTATTAATTGGAATGTCTCTATGTGAGTCTAAAGTTCCTTTTACATTGACTCACAGTTTCTAGTTGTGAAATATGAACTAATATCTTTACTTCACGTTTTTCCAAATCAATAGTGTCAAACAGGTTGCCAAAGTCTAACAAAAAATATGATATACTGAATGAAAACTGTCAGACATCACTGTCTTCAATCCTTCCAACGTAATAATATTGAATGTGTGACATCAAGGGAAATCCTTACTGAACAAAAATTTGGTTTGCATTTACTTCCGCAAAACCATCTCAACTAACATATATATATATATATAGTAATATAATGAATTGAAGATTTCATCAGCTATTAAAGTGCTCAATAGGTAAACTAGAGCGATGTGTAGATTTGCGGAGTTGGATTATTTGGTCGAAGACATTTATTGCTACTCAGAGTTTCATGCTCCTTGCCTGATGATTGCTCCGCAAGGAGCATGAAACTCTGAGTAGCAATAAATGTCTTCGACCAAATAATCCAACTCTGCAAATATATATATATATATATATGCGTAGCAGCCTCATACATAAACAAAGAATGATGTGTCTTGTAAGTCGAACATAAAAATTTATTATTACTGGCCTCCTATTTTCGATCCTATTAGTTTGAAAAGAACATCTGCATTTCGGATCTCCTCACAATGTTAGTGTGTGACATGTGTTATTATATGCCAGGAAAATTAATTGTTTTATTTGTAAGGGAGAATTTTTTCAGAATAAGTCATGGAAAAGTTAACTCTTTCAAAGAAGTCAGAGGGAGATCAAATATTCCTGCACATTCACCTAAGTTTTAACTTCGGTGAAACATATTTCGTTGGCAAAATATTGTTTCAAGAAATTAAACGACAAGCAGATATAGGGTTTCGTATCAGATCAATCCATTCTACACTTTACATTCACCGGATAAATTCATGCAATAAATGGGTGGAGAGGATGGCTGTAATGGGAGCTTTGTGTAGCGGACAGACCGGACACAGATGACGTAAAACAAAAGAACAAAAACCATGAAACAATACCAAGCAGATTTAATGTTCCCTGAACAGCGAACAAAGAAGTCTTCTTTTTCGTCATCTGTGTCCAGTACACGACGTTTTGACTGGAATTTGGAATCTACTGATATCTGGACAGATTGTTCCACAGCTTTGAATTGAAATCAAGACATTTTTCGATCATCGACGATCATCTTCATTTGCAAGTAAAACAGTTACTGTGATTTGAAATATATTATGGTGACGCATGATGCAATTGCACTGAAGTTACAACTCGTGATTATAACTTAGAGCAAAGTCTTCTCGTGCGAAAAAAAATATTTTGGCTGAATTTATGAGTAGTTCTTCTTCTCAATGTAAATTGTTAATCTTTTTTACGTTGTGGTAAACGACTTTTGTAAACTTTCTCTCAGTATTACGGTATCTGTAGACAAAACGAGTGTAAATTATGAGGTAAAAACAAAATGTAGCTGCGTAGAAGGTGACGTGTACGTCAACATTCTTACCATGGACAAATAAAACGGAGGATTGTGCAATCTGCCCATGACTGGCAATTTTTCGAGCTTTATTGCGTGTAACTTGGACATTTTAAATGCATTGTGAGTGTCGGAGCTGTGTTTTCGACCTTTGAAGAGAGCTTGTTTAATGGCTTCAGGTTCGTTTGTTTTGTTTCATACCTGATAATGCTTTTGCCTAATAACGCATTAAAAAGGCCTTATTTACACGACGTCGAAGAGACCTGGATTTTAGTGATGAAGGAATAGTCTTCAATGTTACGGTCAAGAAGTTATTAAGGAATGTCTTACTTTGTTAACTTCGATAGTCGAGGTTCTGTGAAACTATCAATTTTTTAAGAGGGCAAAAGATATCATTTAAAGAACAAGGAGGATTTCTGTTAGGCCTGTTAACATTTCTTTTGTACTTTGAAATGGTAGGCCTGTTTGACTCTTACCTCTTGTAAAAAAGCCATTTACTCCATTCTTTATGCCATAAGGGCAATTATCAGTTGAAGGCACAAATGTAATAATCGACCTCAAATGTACTAAAGCTATCAAACAGTAGTATTAAAATGAATAATGACGTCTAAATATTAAAATCAACTCCGTAGAGTCGCTTCACTTTGCAATAAATAATCAAAATCGATTCCTATACTTTTGCAAATTTACGCGGTTGGTTGTTCAACTTTGAAACGAGTTTAAAATTAAACGTGAAACTTTAAACCAAGGGAAAATATAATATTGCAGAACTAAGCATAAGGTACGACTAAACATTTTGATGATATTGAAATGTATTGACTTGAGGCTTAGCCATAAGTCGGCTTTATGGTATGGATCCCAGGAAGAGTCGGTGCCGTGGATTAACAATGCACCTTAGCTAATATGGTAAATATTAGCTAATGAGAAAACTAGAGTGTGCGATTTGATCGATAGTCACTCTCCTTGCAGAGTTTGTTCACATATTCTAGAGCCAGAGAATGACTGCGGCGATGCGTAACAGTACTGAAGACAACATGAAGGGGAATTAACTGCCGAAAAACAACGAGGCTGCACGAGCTACAGTATGGACAGAACAGCAGCACTGAAGAAACAGAGAGGGCTGGACAGACAGCTTGACGTCTTTATGGGAATTTTAACTTTTAGATTTGGATCTCAATATTCATTTTAAAAACAAGGCTCGTTTCAAACATAAACACGCTTAAAGCTCGTTTTCTTGAAAATTTAAAACGGCGAATAGGAATAGCTTTTTTTACACTGATTTTAAAAATCCTGCGTGGAAAACAGTGATTTCTGAAAAGGATTGAAGTTGATAAATAGCCTACGGCAACTAAAATTTCACTGTCATTGCGGCGCTTATTATAACTTCCTATTTGCGAATAACTGCAGTACGCTTTTGAAGTTCTATACCTCCTCCAGACATCAGCAATAGCTGGAGCTCTGACAGCGTTGCTGGGAAATGTAGCGCTCTATCGATTAATCCCCGGACGTACAAATAAGGGGGGAGGGAGGATGGCATCCACACTCTTTCCGAGTTTTTTCCTAGAAGATCAAACATCAGCATCTGAAGTTTTTAGCAGCTGTTCGTTTATCCCACGCACGTCAGATTTTGAGACAAGTTTAGTGATGATCAGTTATTATGGTCACGAGATATGACGTCATAAGTGGCAGGTGGTGAAGTCATTCTTGAGTAAAAATGCTTTTCTTTAAAAAAATTAAACTTAAAGCTTGTGGGTAAAACGAAGTAAGGTGCTTATTTATGCGTTATTTTACATGTCAAGCACAAAAAGTACCAATTCTCTCCGTTTTTACCTCATTTTTAATTCTAGGTAAAATCCAGCAAGATGGCGACTATGTTTGGTGACGTCACACGCCTTTAGCAGGGCCACCACCCTTTAAATATATACTTCATCTCGTCCAGAAGAGGGAGGGAGTTCCATCAAAACTCAAACTGTAAATTTTGCATGACTAAGATCGTCGTCTCGTTTTGAAAGTATAAAAAAATTGACCTCGATTACTTGTTTTGGCAAACTTTCCCTTGTTTACCTCACAAATACCACGTGACATTGCTTTTATCCTATCAATATTAAATATGGTGGGTATTGTGAAGTAGGTCAATTCACGTGGCTACCACACCAAAAACAGGCTGTCCATAATAAGGAGCAACGCTCGAGCGCTATAGTAACCCGGCCGCCTTCGCTAGTGTTCGTCAAACATCCAAACAATCCGACTTTCTTTGCCAAAGCTCGATGCTAACTTATGGAAAATCTTGAGGTCAAACTGAACAGTGGAATTAACTTCCGAAGGCAGGTTGTACAACATTAGTTCGGCTGAATGTGTTTGCAATACTGAGGAAAGAAATGTTAAAAACAAATAAAATTAGAAAAGTGTGCATATTTCAGGGGCACCCAACGAGGATATAGTTCAAAACCACTTAACATAGCATTGTTGAACGTATTTCAGTATTCAAACGGTAGATATAGGCATATTTTTATCCCCTAAAAACTTTCCATCTGTTCGGATTTCCTAGCTGAAAGTCTAGTGATCCGAAAATTATAGGGATAAAAACTTACCTTCTCGAAAATTTCAGCCAGGAAAAGGCTCCCGAAAATTCTAGGTGGCCTTTTTTTAAGGTCAAAATCCGTTAAAAATGGGTAATGATACCATTTTGTAGATGTTCGAAAATCCTAGGAGAGGCAGGCAAGCAAGAAATGTTGCAACAAATGCTCCGAAAATTCTAGATCTCAAATCGTCTTCCGAACAGATATTTTCCGAAAATTGCCGTTGGGTGCCCCTGATATTTTTAAAACACATTTTACCTCAAAAAAGTGCATTTTCGGCATACTAAAGGTTACCAGTCTTATTCTCTTTCGCACTGACCACAGCATTAGGAAGCCAAACACAATTGAAGAGACTATAAACAAATTCATGCTTGTTGCCATGAAGGGAAGGTTCTTGGCTATATAAACGTGGTTATATTCAAGCAAAGGAGCATCACCGAGATCGATATCATAAAGCTGAAGACTGATAAGAGAAACAATAGTAAGAAGACCGATTAACCACTCAGCAGCAACTATATCTATAGCCTTATCATTTGTCTTCCATATGTAATATTTAAGGTCGAATGTAATTGCCAGAAATGCGTTGACCAGTAACACTAGCATAGAGGTTTTGCCAATAAATGTAGAAAAACTGCCCGCGAAAGCCACAAAGATTGCCAAAGTCTTTCCAGTGAACCATTTTACCTTAAAAACGCCCCATAGCAGGTACATAGGCATGTTGATGACCCCGGTCAAAAAATCTACCAAGGCGAGGTTCGCGATCAGAATGTTTGGGAAAGTGCGAAGAGTTTTAAACCGGGCAAGAATACCAAGGACAAACCCGTTACCACATGCTGAGGCAGTAGCCACGAATATCAGAAGTACACCCATAAAAATTGTAGAAGGAGTGTACTGGTGATTTTCGATTTCCATGATATGTTATATATTGTGAACGTTACCCAGAAGAAATGATCATTACAGCTGAACGAGCCACAACTTCAAGGAAATTATCTAGGAACGTATGTGAAGCAAGCTGCTTGTTGTTATGTTTGCGATTCAGGCACTCTTGTTTTTTTCATAGTGCTGAACGGATGTTTTCTGGAGTAATGATTATTGCATTTCTAATTCATTTCACAGCTTTTCTTGCCTTAAAACAATAGAGGCGATAAGTGTACCTCGTTTGACTCAACTTTTTTTCCAAGGAAATTATCCAAGAACGTATTTAAATCAAAATGTCGAGTCATGTAATTCAGCATTGTTTTGCAAGTTGGTATAAAAATCCTTTTTTTTGTCGTTAGCTCCGTTGGAAAAGCACCGGTCTTCACCGTGGGAAACCGCTGGTTCAAACTCCGGCCAGAACAACACTCAGGCTCTTAAAATAACTGAGCAGGAACTGGTGTCTATGTAAAGACACTTACAAGCGATTAGACTTTCTAGTCTTCTCGGATGAGGACTATAAACCGTAGGGCCCGTCTCTTATCTCTTGTCCATATAAATTCTGTGTGACGTTAAGAAAAGCCCAGGCACACACTGTTAGTAAAGAGTAGGGGAAGTAGTCCCCGGTGTGATGGTCTATCTCTCATAGGGCCGGGAAAAACTGTTACGGGCCCGGGGGGGAGACTCCGCATATAAAAGTAGTGAGGATGCTCGTCGTCTCGCTTAGGGGTGTAAATTTCGAATTTTGGTCTCATTTAAGGTGTTCTGGGCAAAACACCATCATAATTAGCCGTGAAGATCTCGTTTAGGGTTGCAGGCGAAAAAACATAAAAATATATATTTGATATGTGTATTTTTAATATTCGTTTTATTTACTCCATTCATATAATCCAAGTTTTCTTATTTGTCTGTGTTTTAACATGGTCTTTTTTAGCGATCAAAAAAAGCTTGGGCCACGCCCAGATCGGTCTCCTTTACGGGTTTAATTCAAAATTTCCGACGAGCATCCCTACCCCTTTCATATGCGGTTTCCCCCCTCCCCCCGGGGTTACGGGCCCGCAGAAGTTGGCAATAATTGGCGCCTTGCGCTGTGGAGGTGATCCCGCCAAAATTAGCGAATCCAACCTAAGTAAATAAACAACATCCCCAACGCATCTGAGGGCAAAATTTCGCTACCAAAGTTTCAAAGCTCCGCACGAGCGACAAGTTGGGTCGCATTCGGGTAAAAAAAACATTTTGTTTTAAAATGCGTCATCCCTGGCCAGTGTAACTTTTTAAAGTCCATTTAAAAGCTCCCTTAACATCTCTTTTTGACAATCGTTTTGTCCAGTTCTTGCTGGAACGGAATTGATTACTGCCAAAGAAACAGCTCCGTCTTTTTCACCTATTAAATCTTCACATTTCTTTTCTACAATACCTGCCTATTTCTTCTTTCTTTCTTCTGTACAGAAATACAGACAACAACAACAACAACAATTATACTAATCATAATAATCATAATATGGATTATCCCTCTCTATATAGCGTGAAAACGGCCATTTAGTGATCAACACTCGAATCGTTGAGAAGCGAATTAACTCAGCTTCAACATCTTTTGCAGGGGCGGATCCAGGATTTTTTTTAGGAGGGGGTGCACTCGTCTCTTGCTCTACTTCAACACCAATAAACCACATAGTTCTTTTTTTTTTTTTTGCAGAATACCAGTTGTATGAGAAAACCGCAGGTCATCTCAGGGAGGGGTGCGCACCCCCTGCACCCTCCCCCTAGATCCGCCACTGTTTTGGTTGAGTAAACGACAAATGTAAACGACAAATGTAAACATACGAAAAGTTAGCAACTGAAAAACAAGATTCGCGTCTTCCCGCCGAAGGACATACTGAAGTAAAGAAACAAGACAAACAATACTTACATGTAATTTCCTTCTTCGCACTGACCACAACACCAAGACGTCAAATACAATTGTAGAGACGATAAACACAAACATAATTGTTCTCACAAAAGTAAGATTCTTGGCTACATAAACGTGGTGATATAAAGTCACAGGAGCATTACCGAAATCGATATAAAAAACTTGAAGACAGACTACCACTCGACAGCCACTATCGCAATAGCCTTATCATTCGTCTTCCAGGTGTAATATCTAAGGTCGAACTTAATTGCCAGAAATGCGTTGATCAGTAACACCAGCATAGAGGTTTTGCCAATAAAAGTAAACAGACTGATGGATAAAATCAAAAGAATTGCTAAAGTCTTTCCCGTGAAACATGTTACCTTAAGAACGCCCCACAGCAGGTACATAGGCATGTTAATGATCCCGGTTAAAAATTTACCAAAGCGAGGTTCGCGATCAGAATGTTTGGAAAAGTGCGAAGGGTTTTAAACCGGGCAAGAATACCAAGGACAAACCCAGTACCAAATGCTGCGACAGTAGCTACGGATACTAGAAGTACAGCCATGAAATTGTAGAGGGAGAGACATTTTCGATTTCCATGATTTTCTGTCGCCTGTGATTAACAACACCTGTTTGGACATTTCGTACAAGCTATCGAGAAATTGTCATTACAACTGGACTCCTACTCCCACTACACCTTCACAGGAAATTATCGAGGAACGTAGTCTTTGAAGCCAACTGTGTTAGCTATTAAGTCCCGCGTTTCCGATACTGTTGTTATTTTCAAAAAGCTGAACACGTGACTTCTGGAGTAATAATTACATTGCTAATTCATTTTATGGCTTGTGTTTTGACCGTAAGATAATAGAGGCGGTTGGTGTACCTGTCCACTCTTTCTCAAAGGAAATGGTATAATAACGTATATTTGAATCAAAATGTCGAATCATGCGTTTTCAGCATATTGGCAAGGTGTTCTTTGAACTACTGAACAACTGTTGAATAAGATAATTTTCCTTCACTTATTGTACTGTTTTTGGACCTTAGTGAAACTAAACACTATTTCTAGTTTTTTTTTTTTGAGGTAAATGGTGAAAGGAAAATTTACAAAGAAACAAAAAGTAAGTACACTACCCTTGAAGGAAGAAATGTTGCCGGTTTCTAGGCTTTGGTTCACAGTCAGTGGAAAAATCTGAAAGATCGAGCCAAGTCCCGAACAAACACTGAGCAATGCCTTAACCGGCTGACCTTCCCGGTCAATTCATTTCTCTTACATTTGATTTGATTTAAGAAATTCTAAAAGTGACTTTAAGGAAAGATTAGAGGCAGTGAACGGTTTTTTTTTTATTTTGCCGACTCTATCACATTGTTTAAAAAACGTATCAGAAGAAGAGGTTTCCTACTTGCAAAACCCTGAAATAACCTTTCCAAAGACGAACTAATCATCCTTGTACTTTTTCTTGTTCCTTCAACGCTTATGCACAAGATGTTTTTTGCAAAGCGAAAAATAATTTTGAGTCAGAGATTGACCCTTGACGAAAACAATAGTCGAGTACACACACAGGAAGCCAAGAATCACAGCCTACTGCAAGCCACATTATAAGGATTTGTATGAGAATATATCGTAAGATCGATAAAACGATTGAAATGAACAAAAACAGCTGACATACCTCATAAAGAGTTGTGCCTGGGTTGTTTTCTTACTGTTTCTTGCTCTATAAAGTAACGCCATTTTAGCAAGTTTTAATGGTTTGGTTTCATACTAAAATGGCGTTTATAGAGCAGGACTAAGAAAACAACACAGACACAACTCTTTATGGGGTATGTATTCTTTAATACTTGCTTTTGTACATTTCAACCGTTTTATGGACCTTACGATCTCATACAAATCTTTATAATTTGGCTTCCAGTAGGCTGTTGTGATTCTGGGTGCCCTGTGGTACATGCAGCTGAGGATCTTTTAGTGCAGACGTTCTTCGCCATCTGCATTACCTAAAGAAGAATATGGTTGAAAATCATACTGGCATTTGAAGATCTGCAAACAGTGTACAGTAGGTTAGAAAATGAAGGGCTTATTGCGATCCTTGCACAGCGTAACCACCTTCTTTATCTCCTATGATCGCCATCACAATAAGTAACAACCACGCCTCGAATTTTGGCTTCAAGTACTTCGAAGAGAACATCCAGTGTTAGGTATAAAATTGAATTTCTTATCTCTCCTAATTTACAACTGGCGAGATAACACCATTGTGATAATAATACTAATAAACGGCTTCGAGAATGGCTTTCGCACTTTTCGAAGAAACCATGTTTTCAGTAGCTATGTGATGGGTGATGAATGGTCCGTTAAAATTTTTAAACTGCTCGGAAAATTTTACCTTTGCTCGATTTGCTCGCAAGATTAAAAACGAGTGCTCGCTAGCTCGTGCTCCCCAAATTTTTGCAGTTGCTCGCATGCTCGCTTTCTTGTCAGTATTGCTCGAAATTTTGTAAATCCTTCTTTGGGTTAAAGTAAATGTAATTCTTGATAATTCTGTATGGTGCTTAATTCCTATAAATATGGCTATCAAGTTCAGTGGAAATGCACGCGATAAATGACAACGATAAATAATAAATTAGCTAATCTAGCTATATATGGTTAAAAAGAGAAGATATTGTTACCTTTAATTCTTCTGAGTTTCTCTACCGCTCTACTCACTGGGCTTTAATTACGCCGTGTTTTCAATCATGAAAAACGGTTTGGAAGCTTTAGGATTCTTCCACAAGAGGTTGTTCTTGTTTGAGTTAAAATGCTCGATGAGAAGAGTCACGAAGGCTTTCACATTTACCTTGTTTACGTTATCTCAATGTAAAGCTTCTATTTCACGTTGAAATCGTTTTAAAGCCACCAGGGTCATTCTTGTTACCCAAATAGTCTCAGAGGATGGAACACCGTGAGGGCCTTCTACAGACGTTCTGTCACCGTTTTAAAAATCCCGTTTAAAAATATTTTCTGTTTTGTTTAAAGAAGAAAAAGATTTCCATATGGATTGCAGCAAGCCGAAAATATAAGAAGTGCTCGCTGCTTGCGAGTTGTACTGTCTAAGCTGCTCGCTGCTCGCAAAGCAAATTTTTTATCTCTGCTCGTGCTCGCAAAAAAATCGCAGTGCTCGCATGCTCGCGAATGCTTGCAAAGACCATTCGTCACCCCTTATGTGCATTGTGCGCATGCGGACGTGATGGCTCACGCGCATATTTTGCTCATACAACCTCGGACCACGCGTGTTTTTCTAATTTTCGTGACGTCAGAGCGGTAAAAGGTAAAATTAACCGCAAATTTTCTCAGCTTTCCTTCGGTCAATTTTTTTCAAAATCGCCTCAACAAGGGAATATTGGCAAAACCGTCTTAACGACCCCATGTTTCTTCCACTTTAAATATCGTTAATATAATTTGGCAAAGATTGAAGACATTTCACCGAGGAAAATTAGAAATGTTAAGAAAAATGACCAAAAACGACAAAATATTAAATTGTCTACCCGATACCATCGTAACGGCCTTTATCCAGAAAATAAAACTTGATAAATGAGCTTTCTTCAAGAGCCATAATAGGACTTCTTACATGGGAAACCAACCTCTTAATCAAAATCAAAGACAAACTAACTAAGTTTCCTTCTGTAAGGTATGCTAGACAGCGAGGGTTATAAGTAAATACTCAAGGGAGCCACCCTACATCACAAAAAGCAGTTATTCAAAAAGGTGACGCCCTCCTCAGGTCTAAAGAACCTGTAAGTGATGCACGACTTAACTTACAGGCATCAGTTCACTGTTTATTTTGTACATCAAAACTTTGTTTTCATAAAATTCCTGCTTGTGGTGCTCGTTCGAAGAGCATCAACTAAACCTTTTCCCCCGTTTCTACTAACATTTCTGGTGGTTCTATTTCTTTTTAAAAACAGTGGCACACCCAACTGCAAAGCCTAATGAATTCATTTGCAGAATCCGCACATGGAATTCGTATTTGCCTGTTGGAATTTGCTATTGTTTAAAGCTGAAAAAAAACTAAAACCATTTCTGCAGGGAAATGCAATGGCTGCAAATGAATCCATGCTAAGAATGTGGCTCAATTAGCCTAATTAATTCCTATTTGGCTTTTTCGTTTTTTCATTTTTCTAAGACAACGTTAATTGCAATTAGGTGTATGTTGATCGAGTTGCAGGTTTTTAGCAAGCGACACTGCAACCTCAGCGTACTAGAGTATCCCGCCTCGATTCAACGGTGTATTGTAAGAAACATAATGCACTGTGTGGTCCTAATGAGCTTATAAAGCCGCTACATCCCAACAGAGAAGAAGATAACCAGTCTGAACAAATATTCAGGGAATCATTTTAATTTAGTCTTTCTCAATACCTTTGCACGGCATGGAAAATTAATACCACTATACAGCACAGGTACCATAGCTTCAAAAGCCTTGCTCATTATACGTATAAGATTGCTCTGAACTAACATAAAAACTGGCACAAGAAAAAAAAAGACTTTACAAATGTACAAAATTGTCAAGCCAGCAATGAATTGCCTATTCGGCCACTTTTCTCCATATTTAACTTAATTTCACCGATTTTCTACACATAGAAGTCGCACTAAAAACACTCGCTGTGGTTTAAAACAAAGCAATCTGTGATGCTTTAGTTGTGTATTTTGATTGGTCGTTCCAGGAAGCTATACCGTGATCGCTTGGGAGCCTTGTTTAGGTGGTCGAGTCCAAGCCATGGTTTACTAATACTCTGGGCGCCTGGGTACGAGAAATAATAACAACATATTCGTAAAAACGCAACAAGTATGTTAAGTTTTAAGGTAGCTACGTCATGGTTATTGCACCTTAGAAACATTCGGCCAAATTTGTCGTTAGAAACATGTTCAATCTCTTCCATCCTAAATCATCCTTAATAGTTTTACAATAGAACCTCTCCTTTGGGACAACTATATTCAACGGGACACCGCCATTGTATCTGTTACTTCTGTTAAAGGGACATCAATATTCAGGGGAAAGGGACACTTTTTTTCTCGGTCCCCAAACCCTTTTGCAACCTCCACAGTCAGGAGTACACCGTAGTAATCAAAACGTGACGGACCACCAAGAGGGTTGATAAGTATAAACTACCGTAAAATTCCGAAAAGCCCCTCCGTGTATAAGCCAGTCCAAAAATAAGCCCCCCAAACCAGTAACGCGAAAAACCCTCCGTTAAATCGCCCCTCCAAATATAAGCCCCCCAGGGGCTTGTATTTGGAAAATTGCCCTCACATAGAAAGTAAAACAAAGCAAAAACGGTAAATTTACTCCCAACTATAAGGCTAGCCCAATCGATTTTGAAACGCAAATTTTCCTCCGTAGATAAGCCCCTCCGAATATAAGCCCCTCAAAAAGGGCCTTTGAAAAATATAAGCCCCGGGGCTTACTTTCGGAATTTTTCGGTAGTTACAATGATGACAGTTTTCACAAAATACTGAACTTGTGAGAGTTCAAAGTGAAAACAATTAAAATAATAATGCAGCAGATTCAGAATACCACAAAAAATGTTGTCTTGGTTGGTTAATTATTAACAACCCCCGCCCAACGTTTATCAGGGGGACACTCAGTACCGAGGGTGTTCTTCTGTGATGTTTTTCTATTTCTTCAAATTAACATTTTGAGGTTTCCGTCTCAATTTAGGGTCTACTTAGCATGTTGCAAAGTAATGACTCAAAAATACCTCTCTTCCAACGACGTTCAAAAGAGCTCTTGGTATGTGGAGAATCCGAAAGAAAAGGAAAACATATAAAAGGCTCCCTTCATAAAAAGTCCTCTACTGTTGAGCTGGAAAAGCAGTGTCGGCATCAACTTTTAGTGGAGGAAGTTTGTTTTGAGGGCCATATAATAACATGGACTGTTGTAATACCAAACATAGGAGGCTTAAATCTTACGAAAACACGTAAGACATTTTTTCTTAATTACCTGGTGTCTGTGGAAGGAAATCTTTGACTGAAATAGACTTGTCTGATTCTGTAACGGAAAAAAATAACAGCTCACTCACTTATGTCACGGTTTGAATGATTTAAACAATCAGCTGCGAAAGTGTGGTTAGCAGAAACCATAAAAACTTAATACGAAAACCTTCAGGAGTCAAATACTACAAGTGACTTAACAATAGAGAATAGTCAGCTCTCTAACAGGCTTAAAATACGAAACGACAACTCATAGACTTGTTACCTTCTGTGAGGTATATGGCACGTCCCATGTGAATGACGGCCAATTTAACCTGGAAAGGTAAACAGACAAGTTATTGACAAAATGTCTCAAGCCCCAAGCGCTACATATTGGAGTGCACTGTTGAGTTATAGTTGCACTTGGGAGGATTGCTAAGCATTCAAGAAGCTGTAGAGTCGCGCTCGGCTTTCGTTCGTCCGACTCTCACTCTTCTTTCGTGCTTAGCAAACTCCCGCGTGCAACTATAACTTAGTAATGACAGGAGAAGATTCGGCTGTTGGGGCAAAATATATCAGAAAAAAATAGAGAGCTTTAGAATTGATGAAGAGAACGAGTACGAGGTTAACTTAACGTTTTTGCGCGTGTTCTTATTTTTTCTTTCTCTGTTCTTTCAGTATTTATACTGTAACAGGCTAAGCCCTCTCCCGATAGCAAAACGATAAAACTTCTTACAGTTGATAAATTGTTCCCGCCACTACGACATTCTCGGTAAGACCCGATGTAGAACCTAGTAATCGCTACCACGATTTCCCGCCAAAATGACGATGGCTCACGCGCGTGCACTACTTAGTACTGAGAAAATTTCGTACTCGTAGTCGTCCTCGTCCTCGAATCTAAAGCTCTCAACTATTCTTCACCACCAACTATTTGTTAAAAGTTGCGCAAGAATATATATACGTTTTCTGTAATATAACTCAATAGTACACGCTGAGCCGTTTAACATTTGTTAAGTAGTTTCTTTTACCTATATATAAAAGAGATAATAGCTTTCGACCAATATGCGCGGAAACTCATATAGTCATAGAAATTATATAACTTAAGTGTTTGGACTACGATGAACGCCTAATTCCTCGAAGTACCTTAGAATTTCGTGCGTGTGGGACAGGGAAAGAGGCCGTTGCACCGTGTACAGACTGTACCTTTCGAGCAACGAGCGTGCGAACCTACAACTGAAAATTCACTACTCACCTTTTCGAATTCCTTATCTTGAATATCGATCTTTTCTTTAACTCTTTCCTTAAACTTGCTTATCGTCTCTCCCTGCAAGCAAAGGGCAGCCTTCAATAAGTGTTAAACAAACTTAAAAGTATTTTCAAAGTGCTCCTACTACTTTACTTACCATCTCACAAGAAAAAAAAAACTGAAAAAAGCAAACTTTAACACAAAGCTTAAATTTATTGTTTAATAGTTTCGTGAAAGATACCTTACACCGTGGATTTCAAAGTTTTCAGAATTGCTTACGAACAAAAAACAATAGTACTTACGTCGGTAATTCTGATCAAGAACGGAGTTCCAAATGTTTGATAAATTTCCTGCCGGAAGGAGAAAATTACGTAAAAAAAAAAAAAAAATTTCAGAAAGGTTGGTTAAGTGACATCAAGCTTTTAAACACGTCGACGTTCTTAAAATACAGGGAAAAAATGATACACGCTTTACCTTATTAAAGTGCGCCACTGGGACTAAAATTTCATCTTTTCCTAGTTCTATTTCATCCTCGGGAATTTCCTGAAAAAGGTTGTTACTCATTTAGTACTGACAAAAAAATTGCTAAGTTAAACGCTATTTACGACATTGTTGCATTCCGTAACTTCTATGCTCTATGTTACACATTTATATCCTTTGATCCAAGAGGTAAAACTGTAGATCTTCACCATTTTTTTGTCAGGAAAAACATTCCGTTGGCTAACAGTTAAAATTGATAGTAAGAAAGCTCACGAGTGATGGTATTGATGATGAAGATGCAAAGTGGGGTAGAGAAGGACTAAAAGTAGAAAGAAGAGGAGAATTAAGAAAAATTCAGGAAGGGAAGGAGAAAAGGTTACGAGAGGATTGTTAAAAGTGTTATAAATATTGCTGCGCATTGGAAATCATTGTAGGTTTTCCCGCCCCTGTAGGACCAGCTCAGCAACCTCCCTTCCCATGGAAACTCTACAAACAAAACAAGTCAAAGACAATATACGGGTTCAGGGACCGTATTTAGCTCGTCATGAGCTTTTTAACCCTGCTACGTGGCAGTTACTGCAATCCCTGATGATAATGATGACGATGACGATGACGTTGACGTTAATAATGACAAACTGTTCAGTAAACTTACTTCTATTCTGAACGTTCTTTGACCTTGGCTGATGAGATGTTCAAGAGGAACATCGTTGGCGACAATGTTGAACACTTTAGAGCTAATGATTTCAAGAAGCCGAAGTTTTCCTGTGCCGTTTTGCTGTAAGTCCACTTGTTCACGAGCTTCATTTAGCAGATCTGACACTGAACCGTCTTTGTTTGGAAACAGCACCAGTTCTCTCTCTTCCTTAAACTGGTTGGCCACCCAAATACATTTAAATTGTCTCTTGTTTTCAAGTTGGTCGATAGGAATAGTAAGTGTTTGGTAGTAGAGTTTCTTAGGTCCACGAGGCTTGTAATAAATCAACAGATCTCGAAGTGTTCCCTCGTAGGTGCACCGCAGTGCGTTTCCAGGAGCATCGCGATATCTGCAATTTGGATGAATTATTGGTATTGCGTAAGTGAAATATTGGTAATATTTGTTCCTAAATGACTGCAATATAGGTGAGACAACATACTGTTTATCTTACTGGCCACAGGCCGAAGCCAAGAGTAGGGCAGAAACCCGGGCCATTCAGAAAACTGAATTGTGTCCTTTTCGTTATTATGTATTCACTCAAAAGAAATGGTTCTTTTATTTCACTGAAATGAAAGTCGCCGACTTACGCTTGTCCTTTAAAAAATTGTAGCATCATCGGATCAACCTCGAGATGTGCTGACACAGCCTTCGCAACCTATGGATTGTAGAAAAGAGAGGAAATCGACCAATATTATTCCTATCTTATATTTATGTTATGCAGGTTCTGGTGACAGTCGTCTGTTGGCCTGACAGTTCAACATCACAAATATCACTCTTTCGTTGTGTCAGTCACAGATCAACGCAAAGTTACTCTGATGAATATTCAGTGTAGGATGTCTTTATTATACGTACATACTCACATACATACTTTATTGTTTCCTCCCTAAAGTGGCTATCAGGAACAATCATTATTTACAAGCATTACATTTAACTAATTACAACACTAAACTTAGTGTTAATTACAATGCTTCACTAATTGCTAATTACAATATTTTTAAACTTAACCAGCAAGCATTTACAAAATTATCTAAAAGCTGGTTCCTTTGGAGACGTTTTAAAACGTGAACAGATTGGCTTAATTTAAGAGAAGGTTCTACATTGTTCCAAAGCTTAACAGTCCCGTAATAAAAAGTTCTCAGTCCGGAGGCTGTTCTAAAAAGAAGGATGTTTAGCTTTTGGCAACTCCGAGTTGTTCGTTTGCTAACTTGCTCACACGTAATAACTTGGGAAGTAAGATATTCAGGGGCTTGGCCGGTCATGCATTTGAAGGCCATAATAGCCAAGCGATAATATAGTTTGTCCACTCAGGGTTGCATGATCATATTTTTTCGCACCGTTAACGATTCGGCAAGCAAAGTTTTGAACACCACCCTGCAATTTTCTTACATTTTTATTTATTCTTATTCTCTCCTTGGAATATATATATCCTACTAGCTTAGTTTACTATATCCGTTCGACGCAGAAGAACACACCCCTGATACAGATTGAGGTGAGAATGAATGAATGAATGAAAACTTTATTCACGTGTCAAAGTATTTAGCTTTACAGCTAATGGGCGACACAGACTACCTACATACATAATAAGTATCCCTGATAAAAAAAATAATGATAATAAAAAGAGTATATACATTCTTGAAATCTGCCAAACACTTAAAGGGGATAATGACCTCATCACCAACTGTTCATAGGAGAAAGAGAACCAAGGATCCAGATCGGTCGAAAGCACCCCGGAATCCTTGATTATTGTTAGAAATGTTAAAACAACAACAGAAGAATGAAGAGACGTGACACGCATGATACAAAGATACAAAAATACCGTACCTGCATGTAGTTCATTCTCAGCGAAAGGGTAACACTAAAACCTGGGTCGTTTGCAACATTCTTGTCACAAAACAAAACTTCAACTCTGTTGTGAAGATCTCTGCAGAAAAACATAATGCAGCTTGTTCAGTTCACAGTCATGTTACAACAGATCCCAATGATCGAAATAAATCAATTATGCTCAAGTAAACTCTTTCTTGTAGTTTACCTGAAATAATCGTTCACGGTTGGTAATTCACTTGTGGTCAAAAGATCTTGATCCCACCTGCGTAGAACAACAAGCTAACATTAACATTTACTGACAATATTCCTTTAATTCCCCGATTAATTCCTCATCGTGTAACAGCTTGCATCAACTATATTTGGGAGATGTTCGCTGTTCACCTCACCCTGAAAAAATAGTAGACTGAAACAGGAACCCAACAACGTCACACAAAGACAAGCGCTGCGGTTTAGCTGTTTTGGGCGTTAAAACGGCGGGAGATTTTATGCATTATGTGAAGGCGGGTATATGATGGGGTCTATATGACCTCAAAGATAACAAATCCATGACAAGAAATATTATTTAATATGTATTTTAATCTCGATATTACTAACAAGGAACAAGAAATTAAGAACTACAGACCTCTGAAAACAAATGATGTCTCCATCCATGAGCTCGTCCACTCCCTGTTAACAAAACAATAAGATTCTTTAGTGAGTGACTTTTGTTGAATAATGCACCTGACAGCTGACATGACTTCCATGATTTCTTCTATTCAATGCTATGCGAATCACACACTTGAATTCTATCTTTGACTTTTGCACCCCACTCTAACAGCCCTGGGCTCCAGTGATCCTTAAAACCCTAATATCAGGGACTGCAGTATGCATGAACTACACTGATCATCGTCTGCATACATTCCATACAGTTTTAAAGAGGATAATTTTCTTTTACAATCAAGACCTTTTTCACTTGTTGCGTGTTACACATGAACTTAGTTAATAGCCTTGCTCTTCATGCGTGTCTCCATAGCACGGTGGATATAGCGCCCGTCCGATAGTGACCAACAATTCATCACTTCATCGTTCATGCAACTTGTCTCTCGTGAAGTTACCCAAGTACGTTAATAAAAACACTGATACTTCAACGTACAGTAAAGCTCCCACCCACCAAGTATAATATAGTTGGGTTTATACTAGACCACTAACTCTGTCTTAGACGCCTCTTAAGTCGACTTAGCAAAAGTCATGGGTAAACTCAAAGGGGCTAAGACATTCATTAGACTCTTACAAACACCACTTGACGCTTGCTTTACAAGTAACATGATCGGTTATAATAAGAAAAACCTGTCAAACGCTCGGCAAATATATCAGCCAAAATCCCTCCTTTCGGGCGCCGTCTTCCACGTTCTTCTCCTCATGTTCAAAGTAAGTTTAGCCATTTTGTTGAGTCCATAATTGTTTCTCAAGGCTCAAGGATTTCCTATCCTGTCCTTCTATAGACCCGTAGAGCGATTACCAAGAATAACCCGGATGGGGCCTTTCACGTACTATTCTGCTATGTTGAATTCTGCGTCGGACTCTGACTCGCTAACGGATTCTACTTCGCCCCAGAGTCGACTGGAGTAGAAGAAACAAACATACTGCTGGATTGCTGGGGTGCACCAGTACGAATCTTTAAAGTTAGTTTCTGTTTCTCGAAGAAAGACTTTATGGAGCCAAATCCTAAAGAAAGTTTTAAGTAACAGTGCAGAACTGGGGTTGACCACCAACAAGAACTTGGAACAGGATAAAAAGAGGATCAAGACCCTCGAATAAGAATACCACCAAGCACGAACTGGCATCCACAAGTGAAGAGGGCGCAAAGAAACTTCAAGCCGGCTGCAAGTTCTACAGCGAATTATACGAAATATTGGGCTCGGGAGATGCGTTCAAGCCAGACCGAATGACGATCAGTGCGTCAAGTGTAATCCCAGGAAAGAGAAAGTCAAGCGAAATGGCGAGAAATGTAGTGGGTGAGACAGATGGAAGCATTTCGCCAACAGTAAACTTGGAAACGTCAGATTCACAGCCTAGCACTTCTACCCTAGATAACTCCCCACCACAGCCGGAAGAAACTTGTGAAAAAATAAGTAAAAAAAAAAGGTCCGGAAAAAACCCCAACTGAGCGTGAAAAGAAAGACGCCATCAAGGGATGATCAAGACGAAGATCCCTACATGAACGGACTGATTTGTGACATGTGGCGCTTGTCAACGGAGAAGCAGAGCGAATGCGTCGAGAAAAGTATGGAGCTAAGGCTCTTGTTGATGGATTTCGTCTCAAAATGAAATGGACATTTGACATTTCAAGTTACAAGTTTTGTTCTTGTTGAACTCTTCGATTCCTATTGACAGAGATCACCTTTTGGTGTTAAGACAGCAGAAGCTTATTTCAAAGCATAGATTATGTTTTTTTAAAATTTAGATTAAGTATTGAGTAACATAAGTGATTATATGATTCACGAAATAACACTACGATGTTTTTTTTGGTTTTACTTCCTAAAAATAAACTATATGTACTGAACTTAAATGAATTCTTAACCTATCTTCTGTTCATCCTCTTAGAAATAACAAAATGTACTAGTAGATAAGTCACTGAGATACAAAATTCCTTGGGTAACTAAAAAACGTCTGACAAAGCTTTACGAGCGCATGCATTGTCAATTGGGTCCTCGTCGTCGTCGTAGTCGTCATTGTCAGCGTCATCAGGTGGGCGCGGTTTTCGTCGTCATCAAATGCATCCCCATGAACTAAGCAAAAATTGTGTAAGAGTACCCTGCTGTCACGGTTCTTTGCACTGACGTGTGATTTTGTTCAGTTTTTTTTAGTAAAGCCCTCCAGCGACCTTTTAGCAAGCCGAACGCTCTCTCGACCACTGATCTCATCGCAAAGGTGCCCTCTGTTGAAGAAAGGCTTGATCAATCAATTTTTTATGGGATAAGCACTGTCACCCACCAACATCGGCCTTAACTGCACTCGGGTAACAGGCTATAAAACCCTTACAACGTAGATACTTCCAGGAAAGCTGATAATGCTGCTGAGGATTGAATATCCCTTGCAGGTTGATGCTGTAATACTGTTTCCTGTTAAACTAGTCTTCTTTGTTTCCCGGTGATGCATTGATTTCGATGCGCAACCATCAACTGCTCCCACAATTTGTGGGAAATGGCACTCTTCTTCAAAGTCATTCATTACCTCTTGAACTTCGTCAGCCACACAAGTGAATCGAATGAACAAGTCCTTCTTTCGGTACAAAGCTTCGTCGACCTCTTGACAAACTACTTTGGCAATAGATTTTCCTAAATCAAAGCGCAATCCACCTAAGCGATAACTTTTCCCGGTGGAAAGTCTCCACCGACCAATGCGCCTTTCCAAAGATACAGGCTTTCGCATTCGTCTTTCTTATTTCACTACATCACCACGAAGAATACGGCTCAGTTCCTCAAATTTTTCGCTTTCCATTCGACAATTCGGTTTCTAGGGGATGTCCAGCTAGCGGGATGCGAGAAGAGTATCAAACCAATTCTGAGGTCTTGGCCAGACCCAAGTTCTTCTTCTTGTGGGCCATCCTTGTCTTCGCCGAGTTCTCATCGGAAGGCAAGTGAGAAATAAGAGGTTTTCACACTCATATGAAAAATCGTCAATCATTATCTCACGGAGAAACATGGGATTTCGCAGTGTTATTTCACTGACTATCTTTTGCAAATTAAGCAAGAACACCACTGCGGAAATTATGGCAATCTTACGGCCTCTCAGTCTCATTTTCAATTGAATCTCTGTCAGTGTTTGTGTTTAGGTAAAGCCAAAAAAAAGCTAGAGAAAGATCTCCTCGTGTTGCTTTCGCAATTTTAAAAGAAACCAAGATATGCGTGACAGTAAATCAAATGTATCGCTTATCATAACAATACTTGACAGGTTGGCATGGAAAGGATTTTTTCCATCTGAACGACAAAGCGTTCTTAGACTGACTTAGGTTGACTTGGGCTAAGTCTGCTTAAGACCGACTTAGTGACTAGTGTGAACTCATATAATGTTCAGATTCGCCAAGAGCAACAAAGAAAAGAAATCTGAATATGACTACAACCAAGTGACGATCTAAAAACAAAGTGTGATATGGGCAACACTTCTTGAGTTTTGCAGAGAAACTCTCAGTCTAGTTATTTAACTCAGCTTAAAAACTCACCCGTTCAAAGGTAACATTCAAGTCTTTTATTTGTTCTACGTAGGTGGCTTTTATTTCCTGTGAATCAGAATAAAATATAAAATATATCTACTCACTGCATCGTTTAGAAAACTAAAATGCAACAATTCAATTACATGAGACATTATAATAAGAAGAAAAGACAATGATGTGAAAATGTTCCCTAGTCAAGCAGATTGTGTGGTAGGTAGCAGTATCTCACCTCAAACATGGCTATCGGTGTTCCCTGAGACAAACCTGCTCTCTCACACAGCGCTGGAACGACATCAACTAAGAAGCACCAGAATAAGTAATGTTAATCGTAAACAGCTTCTACCCGTGAATGACAATTTGAAATATCGTTTATTTTATGCCTATGTTGGGAACAAACATGTCATCAGCGGCTTCAGGATATATCCGCACGAGTTCACACCATAAGATTAACGATACTTAAGTGATATTACGATTCAATCTGGAGACCATAAATGAAAATATCCATTTACGATAGTTAACCTGTGGAGGAAAGCTGAAGACGCTGAAGTTCGCGACTTTAGACTGCCTAGTGTGGAAATAGCCTAAGCCTATTGCAAATGACAATAAACCCAAGCACCACAAAAGGACTGAGAAATCTAACAAATTGATATCAAAGACTCCTCAATAACAGTACACCTTGCTAACAATCTGCTCTGGACGCCAAGATTTGTTAAAACTGCGCGTGAAAACATTCCGGCCTCACTGGCTTTTGGTGCATGACAGGACAAAAAAAGTCTAGCTAAACAACACGAGCCACAACATCACGTGATTATCACACTTCAGTTTCTTTAGCTTACCAAACTTCGTAGATAAAGGAGTGTATAAATGCCCCACACACGCTAGAGTTTTCTGTTTCGGATCGTAGTGTTTGAAGAATAACAACACGTCATCTGTAGCAAAAAAAAACAAAGCTGAGCTGTAATGAGAAACGTTACTTACTTATCCTTACTAACATAGTAGGTCACAGAGACACGTAAAGTTACGTGAAACCTCATTAACCCATTCGCCCCTAAACCGCCCGTAACCGCCCGTGCGGATCCAGGTCCTTTCTACCCTTTGTGACGTCATCAGTTTTAACGGTCAAGGACAACTTTCTTCGCTAACTTGTGCAGAGTGAAGAGATCTTTCAAACCATACCAGAATGAGCACAATTCAGTCAAGGACACCGGAGAAAGAAGCAAAAAACCACGTGACAAGGACCTGAAAATCTCCATGAAAATCTTGTGCCATTACCCACCTACCTTTCCTTTCACCTAATCCTAAGATCCTAAAAGCTTTCCTAAAAACTCTTCCCACCAAAATGAAGCCTACTAAATGCCCAGCAAGAGAAAAAAAAATGAGGCAAGAAAAGCGAAAAAAGAAGGGAGGAGAGAAAGCGAAAAGTAAAAGTCAAGACTGCTGTCGAAATGTCGAAATTTTGCTTTCTGCGCATGCCCGAACTTCGCAAGCTGATATTTTGCATCTGGATCAGAAGGCCGCCAAGTGTACGACCTGTAAACCGGTTTGTGGTAAGTTTTAGCTCTTTATAGCACGACAGTGACCAGAAAACCACTCGACTAGCTTCAAAACGCGTTTTTCGGCAAAATCTCCAGGAGCGAATGGGTTAATACAGACACCAAAGAGGTATAGCTGAGTGTCCTAATCACAGAGGTGTCCTTAAGAAGTAGGGATAGTATCAAGCTGAGTATTTTTCGAACTATGAAAACTGGCTGTAATAGAGAAGTGTCTGCGGTAAGCAGAGGTCCAATTAAACTTCTTGCTTTTTACCATATAACATCTTGTGCTGCCATTCAGTGATCACGTACTTGCATCTAAAGCTGTTTGTTTCTCTGTACAGTGCAGCCCTTCCTTTCGCTCTCCTTGGTTATACGACCTCCACGTTATTACCACCACACAAACGAGCAGAATTTCAAGATCAGTGAGAGCAGGGCTACAGACCTTTTCCGCATTCATGTGATCAAAGGCGTGAGGGTAACAAAATACAGTAACTTAAAGTAGATTGCCGTCTTTACCGTCTTTTATTGCTTACGCTCACTGGAGTGAAATACGGGGATGGTCTTGAATATTGGTCAACATTTGCGATTTTTGCAGAATTTTGAATTGTAGGGCCATGAAAGGTGACCTGCCAATTAGCAAAGGGAACTAATAAGAGCACGGTGCTCGTATGGATGTAGTAGATTCAAGGGTATAGCTTCTTTCTAAATCAATTCCACCCCGTCAAAGCTTAGCATTATAGACTCACTTTGCTTGTCGAACATTGGTAAGCCTACTTTACCATCCTCTATAAAGACAAAAAAAAGACTGAAGTTAGATTGAATGTCAGTTAACTACTATACACGATAACAAAATGAGGTGGTCACCACACATTGAAACAATCACATCTAGGGCAAATAAGGTCTTGGGACTTATCAAGCGAAATCTGTGGAATTGTCCAAAGTCAGTGAAAGAAACCGTGTATATGACACTTGTGAGGCCAAAACTCCAGTATGCCTGTAGCGCATGGGACCCACATTACCAGAAAGATAAAGCCGCTCTAGAAAGGGTACAGCGGAAAGCAGCCCGCTTTGTCACTGGAAATTACGATCGAACAACGAGCGTGACGGAAATGCTGCAAGACCTACAGTGGGACACACTTGAAACAATGAGAAGACACGCAAGGCTCTCCACTATATACAAGATGTGCCACGGCCTCCTAGATGGGGATTGGGGGAATTATTTGATAAGAAGCAAAGAAAGGAGAACCCGGGGAAGCCATGATTTTAAATTTATTGTACCGAAAGGACATCAAGATATTTTTAGATTTTCTTTTTTTCCCAGGACAATAACTGAATGGAACAAACTTCCAGAAGAAACTGTTTCCAGCCAATCCCTCTGTATTTTTAAAAGCAAACTAATTTAGTTTTCTTTTTATCAGTAGTTTTTTAATAGTTTTTAATAGTTTTTTTAATAGTTTTTAATAGTTTTGTATATTCTAGTATAGTTTTATTTATTATTATCTTAGAGTTGGCGTGATGTCCGAAACGATTTTGCCGACATAACGATATTTAGATTTAGATTTAGACACCAGCACGAATAGACTGTTATAGTTTTTAAAATGACATTGCCATTTTGTTTGGCATTTCAAAATCTTAAAATGTAGCAAGCAAGTATAGCAAACAAGTGAAATACAAGGAAACGACTGAATCAGTGTATGTTTTCATTAGCTGAAATGGTAAATAAAATCATTCAGATTGGTTTCTTTCAGGCAATCAGAATCGTTTCTTTGAATCACAACCTTACCAGGATCAACAGTTTCTACGAAGAGAAACCACTGAGAGCCGTCAACAATCTGCCCCAGCTAAAAAGGAAATAAAAGAAATCTTAGGAACGAACAAAAATTCATAGTTTACTACTCAGTTGGAGAAGGTAACTCAGTTCTATGGAATATCAAACGCCTAAAAAGCTCAACAAATCCTCAGATGAGGGCATGCGATGTCACAAGGAATGCACGAACAGCCTTATTTAATATAGACGTTTGTATTACAAACAGGAACGTTTGATTATCCTCCTTAGTGTGTTTCTTTGAGTTTTAAAACCAGGTTATTAATAAAGGAAATTCTTAATCCAAAAAGTGTATCTTAAGGCATCTCAACTGAACTTACAGTCTTGTCGAAGTTAGCTTCTATGTCTAATAAGCTGGGTCTTGTTGTACCATTACTTCGTGGCTGAAGAGGCCACGGCCTGATTTGATTAACTGGATAGCCCTGTCAGTAAGAACAACAAAAACACATCATCACCTCCCATTTCCTCGACAACTTGTGTGGAAATATAGTACACAATAATTTTTTTTTTCTCACCAAACCCTCGGCCAGGATATCCAATACTTCGTGAAGTTTCTTTGATTTTAGAACTTTGAAACTCCTACAAACAGTAAAAAAGAACATTTGAAAAAACCTACCAAACTGGTTACATTTGGAAGGGCAATTCCTAGAGAGCCCAAAGGAGGTACACAGTCATGAGTGACCAATTATTCAACAAAACAGCTTTAATATAATAATCACAGAAAAAGAATAAGTACCCCATAAATACCTCTAGCTAGTCGATAGGGGCAACACATATTAATGGTGGACAGTTTCATAGGACAGGAAAGCTATAACTTCCTCACTGACCAATCGAAGAGATTTAAAGGAACTCAAATGAAAATAACGTGAAGAACTCTTAAACGCATATCCGACTTATTCGCGGGCGTGAACAGAAGCAACAACAGGTCCACTCAATCTGATAGAAAGGTCGAAAGGGCTACGTCATGCTGTTTGCTATAACTCTTTTTGAAAGGCGACAACGTGTCTGTGCAACATTTAGATTACAATGGTCCAGTTTTATTATCCAAGACTACATTAGGCATTGAAACTGTTTCATGTCATTGCTACGGATGGCAGGAATGGGCATGGATGGAAACTTGAAAACCATGCGCCATTTTTTTCTACGTTTTAATGATTACCAAAACATATTATGTTCAGTGGTAAGTGATAAAACTTGTTTGATATCCTCTTCATAACTCTACAGGAACATTTCGTGTATGGGTAAAGGCACAAAGTAATGACTTAAACACAGAATTGACCAAAAACAGCAGCAGCACGCGATCCAGCAAAGTCAACACAGAGAGAAAAATTGTTGAGGATCGTTGTTGTCTAGCGAGCTGGTGAAAACAACAACAGCTCTCCGCCGGGCCCGTTAATCATCGGAAATTTTAAGAAACGAGCCCCTGGCCACTTAACTCTGCCTCTGGGGTGAATCGTAGTGAAACAGCAGAACAAGTCCTGCATGTATCGTAACCACTGTCATTGTGCTAGCTTTAACCATGCTTGTTCTGAAACACCTTTATTTATTATCAGTAAAAACTAACTTTGGTTTGGTTTTCTCCATGTCAAAGAGATCAGATCCTTGGTGTCCAGCAAACTGGTCTTCGGTGACAACCTGATAAAAACCGAAATAAAGTCTAACAATTTAAACCTCATAATTATGGTAGGAGAAATACTAGACTATCAAATATACATTGTAACTTTCATAAATCCTTTTTGTTACTGGTCAGCCGATGAATAAACTTCTATGATTAACTGCGATTTTCCTACTCCCTCAAAAAGAAATAAAAAAGGCAGCAAAAGCCAGAAATATATTTGTAAATACAAAAAGCCTTTCAACTTACGTCTACAGTCATGTATAAGTGCGCCTCTTGCCTTTCCTTTCTTCTTTGTGCTTCGAGTCTCCTGAAAACCAACCCCCGGCCAAAAACAATTACAATGAAACCTGTATTAAGTTAGTCCGCGCTGGGCTCTCGGTCGGTGCAGATGACCGAAAAAAAGCGGGCGAACAGCAAAAAGCGAGCGAGAGAAAAACGGCCGCCAAAAATCATTTCCCCAGCTTTCTCGAAATGAAAATCAGGGCAAGTTGAGGGTACGTTTTGAACTCCAAGTCGGCAACCCGTGAACCAATTTGGTTGAAATTTGGCCAACTTACCGGCTGTCAGATAGTTTTTCTAAAAAACCGTCTCTGCGAATTTTGATTTCTTTTTTCGTTTCGACTTGAAGTATTTTTCCACAGGTAGTGCCAATGATTTGCTATCTCTAACTTCAAATACTTATAACGAAAGAATAAACGCACTAGACAAAAATCTGAGACACGGTTTTTTTGTCAAACGTGTTAAGAAGCGAATGCGATCTTAATTGGCTTATTCCGTTTACTTTTGGCTGGCCAGGACTTAAATTCACCGTGACAACCACATTCACAAAAAGTTTCTCATTTTTGAGTCACGTTAATATTTGGATTTTTTAAAAGGAATAAGCAATAACCTGGAACTATTAAGCTTTCAGAAAATGTACGGTTTATGGGGGTATTTATTGAAAACAAAAGCGCTAGCGCCGATCAACGTGAGGACGGTGTTTGAGGGTGGATGATACCTTAATACAGTTTGAAAATATGTTTTCATTCACACACAAATGAAACTCAGTTTTGTATGAATGGTTGTGCCCAGACCTCATGTTAGAGCACAGAAATGGGCAATTAAAGTTAAGTTACGTTTCTTACTTTTCCTCCTGTAATCTCTGTACAAGTGTCTCGGGAATTAAACTCTCATCTACATCCTCTAAAATATCCCCTGTAAATGTACCATAAAATAAGAGAAACATAAATCACGCGTACAAATACATTAGCTGGTTTCCATCACTGACGTTCCCTTAAACTGAACGTTCAGCGACCGCGATTATATGAAAATAACTCTTCACGGCCGGATAAAAGTGATGCCTGCGACACACTTTCAAGACCAGTTTTCAAATAAACACTACGACCAGTCAGATCGTCAGTGCCTTTTCAGAGATAGTAGCGATCACAGCGACGTCTCCGACAACGGTCGCTGGGACGGAATTCACTTCAGTCTATTTCAAGGGTGGTTTTCATATAGTCACTACCGACGATTTGGTCGTAATTATTCGGAGAGGCAGTAGTAGACTGCGAGCAGTCGCTATTTTTCTTCAGATTTAGTAAGGGGAGTGCACGCGCGCGCGAGCGTTGAGCAGCGAAGCCGCGAGACACGAGAAACGAGGGCTCCCGTATCGCGCCTTCAGTCACGCGCATGGTCATTTGCGTGTCACGGGCGTTTTGCTCGACGGACCAAGAAAAAAGAGAGACTGCTCGTAGTCTAAGGCAGTAGTGATCGTAACGAGCAAATGAAAACCAGAATCAACCTTAAACGTGTCCAAAGGTATATGCTTACATCTCATACCAACACACGGTTCTTATAATTCATACATTGCCGGGCTGCGTGCGAGGGATGAAATTGGCACCGTTTCTTTCATTCTCTCTATCCCTTCAAAACCAAGCCTAAGTTATACTATTCACATAATTCTGACTTATCACAGGCAGAAGCCAGCTTTGTGTTTTGCCTTCGAAATCAGTTTTGTAAGTAATAATAACGGCGTTTCCCATCGAAGAGTTCACTTTTTTACCAAGCCTTGCCAACTTAAATAGCTGTCCATATTAATCACATTACACCTGATTTGTTCACTCCCTTCACTACGGACCTTAAGCATTGACGACGAATGGGACAACGACGACCTATCAGAAGTGGCCGAGGCCAGTTGAACGCTACTGCACACGCACGGCTCGTCGTCCACATGTTGCCGAGAACGTGAAAACCCGTGGTTTGGCGTCCAGGAGTGAACGTGAGTAAGGGACTGGTCAAAAAGTATGGGGGGGAGCGGAGCATTTGGAAATGTGGTTGATAAAAAACACATGACCCACCCCCTCCTATCGGCACAAAAATGACTGACCCACCCCTAAAGCAAGGTTGGAAATTGCATGACCCACCCCCTAGTTAAAACATGGATGTTTGGTTTCCTCGAAGGCCATCCCCTTTTTTCTCTTCGTTTACCGTCGAATGCGTTTCCTGATATTGGGTCGGTCGGTCGGATTGAAAAAAAAAAAACAAACTTGAAGTCTCAGAATAGTCTCAGAATAGTAGGCCCTGGTACCCCAGGACAACGTTAAAAGTTAACATTCACATATGTGGATTAATTCCAGCTGGCTGTGTTTTATATAACAAGTGTGGTCAACTGTCTTGTTAGTAGTTAGTGCTTATCTATGTAATAAAATAGGGTGACCCACCCCCTAAGAGTAGCCGCAAATTGCACGACCCACCCCTTGCACAAGGCTCAAAACCTCATGACCCACCCCCTCTCTGCTCCGGCCCACCCCCGCCTATACTTTTTGACCAGTCCCTAAATTTACTCGTATTTTTACCCCTTAAATCCACTTTCCTGAAAGAAATTTCATCTCAACTGCGTATTCGAGTTTCAACGTATATTTTCTTTGTATTTTTGTACTAAAAACGCCAGAAAATCGATTGATACAGGTCTTCGCAAACAAGCACCAGCGAGTCGCATCAAAACTTTCTCGTTTGTGTTTTCCAGCTTTTCGCGAAGCAAAAAGGTTTACAGGTCAAAAAGATGCAAAATCAACTTGTTCTGCCCTTTTTTCTTTAAGAACTGTAGTGATTTGTCGACAAACATTAGTAACCGTTGGTTTCATTTTTCTTCGTAAAGGAGATGGAATGGTCAGACAAACATGATTTGGTGTTATGCCGAGAAGCGTTTATGATATGGAACCCTGGCTATCAACATCCGTATAAAAGCAAGGAAAGGAGAGATGTATGGAACCAGATAGCTGTAAACCTGAGTGGCCTTGATCATCCGAAAATCAAAGTCAATAAAAGATCCATGAGAAACAGACTGCCGACCTTGCTGATTACCAAGCATAAAGCGAAAATAGGCCAAGAAGAAAATGCCACTGGAATCACTTGCGAATTAGAGACCGAACTCTCGAAGAGATAATTGACAGGAAAAGTTGGGCGACGAAAAAAGCTCCGAAGAGGAGAAAAAAGAAAAGGAAGAAGGAGCAGCTCGAGAGGAACACAGGCAAAGCGCTATACAACGTTTAGGGCAGATCGTGAAAAGACATTTTTTAATACTTCGTTCATTCGCATTTCCTTTGTTTACATGGAAAACTCGTTGTCCACAGCAAGCGAGCGCTTAACTCTCGAATTTTCCGACCGTGAACGACGTTCACGACCCAGTCTTTTCACGGTGCAGTTCATTGTCGTCGATGCTTAAGGTTCCTCCTTTTTATGTGAACGTTACCAAACAGGCCACAAGTCATGAATAGACCTGAGAATATTCTCACTGTCTGATTCCAGTAGGCAAAGTGGCGTCGTGCAGTGTCAAAGCATTACATACGCTAAGATTTTTCTTGTTACAGACGTCGAAGAGCGTGAATTGAATCCACGCAAACCGGTCGTTTCGATACGAACTCAAACAGTGAAACTGTACAACAATTTCGATCGCATCACACATAGTTTGCACGTGAACAAGAAAAACATTCCTCGCTCTCTAAGCCAAGTACACTCTCTAAGCCAAGTAAACTATTTACACTTCGACTGAATTAGACTTGCCACCGGACCTCACGAGTCAAAGCGAGCAAGGCGAGCTTTTTAGGCCACGAAGCGACAGCGCGAGTGACGAATTCGCGAGATGTCGTCCTTCTTTCCGCGCTATTAAATCGGGCGAAAGATTACGACTTACATCGAAACGACCGGTGACCGAAAAAATACAGACTGCGGCCCTTGATGCTGCTGAAAATAGAACTGAAGAAAGTTCCCTTTCTCTCTTTAACTTGTAGCCTGCATGCAGCATGTCGCTAGCTACATGTACTTCCACTGGTATTAGTTGTCACGCAAAAACAAAAACAAAATGTAATAAAATTCTACTCGGTTGATTACTGGTATAATATGCTGTGGTACTTACTCATTTCACTGTCTCTGATGTAAACTAACATGTACGCATTTGTACAGTGTTTTACAGTTATGTCATCCTGCAAAACAACAATACATGGATCAGATAGTAACAAATAAAGATGCTCGTTCTGTCTGAAATAGAATTTTAAATATCGCTAAAAAATGCGTCATTTTGGTACTAAAAAGTGGCAATAAGATAGAGTGATGGCCGGGCTGATGACGTGGAGCAAAACCTAATGGAGTTGCGCACCATCCTTGTACCTTTTAATTTTATAATCATAACCAACTCCGAGAAAACTGTCAGTATATATTTGCTGTATACTGTACCTCATATCCTCCAAAGTTATTGTCAATTGCTTCTTTTTTGGTAGCCTGATATAATGAAACAAAAATTAAGTTCAGTATCATTGTTATTATCACATTCCAACCTACAGGTGCAGACAACCACGACGAATACAGCAGTGAAAACGTCACTAAATATGAATTTGCCCATAGCTCTATTAATGTCCGGTTATTTAGCCCCACTCAATTTGTTACAAGTGAACGAATCCTCCGGGGGATGGATGCTTGAGGACTGTATCCATGATCAAAAACAGAAAGGGAAACTCGTCATCCAGTCGTGTGCTTAGCTCCTTCATAAAACGTTGCGTTTCACGTCGCAGTCGTGAAGTAGACTTCAGAGAAATGTGCCAATACGTTTTAAGAGTGATGAACGTCAACTGCCGGAAGTGAACTTTTGGCAGTCGTGAGCTGTGATTTTGATCAAATGTTTGGGTAAATCGTCTCTATAAGAATAAAAAACACTAAGCAATACAACTTTGTAGCGTCAAGGCATAGTGAAAGAGAAAAAGGCTTACTTCCAGTTGACGTGCGTCGCTCAAAAACGTCTTTGCTCAAGCTGCCTAGTATAATTCACGTGCAGATCTGCTCTTTTGCTCATAAATCCAAATATCTTTATAAAGTTCTTGTTACCATCATAGTTAAGCTCGCGAGGTGTCACTCACTCAGAAATTCTTATAGAAGGGATTCCCTAAAATTTTTCTTTGCATTTTTATAATAGAAGAATACAACAATACAAGCGCACCCATAAATAAGAGACGTGAAAATAAGCGTAACGAGTGTAAGATTAGAGATCAACATCGCCAAAGCAGCAAAAGAGAGAAAAGGCGATCTTCTGAGGTATTGTATGTGAGAGAGGAATCCTAAAAAGATTGACACACTCATGAAAGGGCAGTAAATTCACCCTACTACGCACTTACCAATGATACAACATCGTCATCAAATTTGCACCACTAAAATTTGAAAACATGACTATATCAGAAATATGGCATTTACTGTATTTACTTAAACGGAGCATACGCCTGTATTAACAGCACCCCTAAAAAGCTCAGTCAGGGTTACGATTGCCCGCGAAGATATGGTAAATGGACATGGGTCCCCCTCTACCAAAAAAGGAAAATGCCAGGTTGGAGTCTAGCGCGGTATAGACTACCTTGACGAGGGTAGATGGAATTCGCTGAGCTTTGGTTAGCAGTCTGTCTAGTGATGGCGGCACGATAAACCTACTGGTTCGTGGAAACCTTAAAGCGCAACCTCATTTTTTAATGAGAAAATGTGGAATATTGAAGTTTACTCCAAGGACGTCAACGGGACTTGAGCGAACAGCGAAGTTGTCGCGTCCGGCAGGTGTCTTGTGGAGCAGCAGCACAGGCCCGTCATCCTGCTACTGCTGAAAGACAACTGAAGAGATTGGCATGTACTGCCGCTGTCTTGCGGAAAGTGTTACGTCTCTAAGCGGGATTGCTATTGCTATTGCTATTGCGGGATTGCTGCTGAGACATGGCTGAGAATTCCCAGAAAAAGAACTGGAGAGGATCACACCTTAACAATAAGCACTATCCCCATCCCCCGCCTCTCCAAGAAAAAAAAGAAAACTGGAGACTAGAGCACAGTTTCTTAACAACAATGCCGTACTAACTACTCAATGAAAATGTCAATGTTGATACTCCTATCAGCATTACAACATTTAAAATTCTAAAAAATCTCTACAATTTCAACTATTATTTTTACCTCTGCTATTGTTACACATAAACATACTGTACATTGTTATGCTGTTGTTGATGTTTTTGAACAAGACAAGGAATAATAAAGATACAGAAGTCAGCGGCTTACCCTTCCATCACCCTTCGGGTTAACGTAGACCACATAATGTCCACCATGATTATCTCCTGTTATTGAGAAGACACAGCACATTATCATTACAGCAAATATTGTTAAATGAACTTGGATCTAGTTTGTAGTGGTACATGTATTTAAGACAGAAGAATGACGAATTTTATGCATGGTATGGGGAAAGATTCGTAAACAACCAGGCCAGAATTATACTAGGAGGCCCTACCAGAGAAACTTGCCCAGTGACATGCTCCAAAACGAAGATTTACGCCATGAAAGCAGAATCACAACAAAAGACAACTTTCACTCAACACAAACGTCTGTCAGTGACGCAAAGGACGACAGTTCACAAGAAAAAGATGTAGTTTTTGCAGACCAAAATTGCATCAATAATCAACAGTTGCAACCCCAAAAAATCACGTGCAGTTGTACACTTCAGTTCCAAGGCAGATGTAAAAAAACGTACCTCACCGTAAATGTGATAATCAACCCTCAACTGTTAAAATTTATACCTACACTCTGTCCAGGCTGGGTTAACAGGCTTACATGCATTATTACGGTGTATTGGCATAGTGTAGTGTGAATTAAGTGGTATAGTTGCATAGCACTTGTTTAAAGTAAAATTAAACGTGAATACATTTTGTATGAAGTGAGAAATTCTGGAAATCCTTCTGACATATTATATTTACTCATTCTAAAGGAACAGTGAAAACTATAGGGTAACATGCAGACATGCAGCAACTGATTTAATTTGTGTTTTTGGTCTTTTTTCCCCACAATAAAAGATGCTCTGCACTTACCACTATGTACAAGAACAGCATGTAATGTATAATGTCCTAAATGCTCTGCAGGGTCTTGAAGAAATTGATTTAAATTGAGCTTCTCCATAAATTCACATCTGAAATTTTAACAAGGATGACAAAACTTTTTCAACAAAACAAACCTCGCAAAACACAGTGACCTATCTGTGAATATAAAATAAAGGGGATCATCACTGTGACAGACATTAAGTATCAGATGCAAATTGCTACAAAAATATAGAGCAAACTTATGCATTGAATTCTTCAAGAATACTATTTATTCATCATTTTTGACAAGCTTTTTCCTTTTTTTGATGTCCCTAAAAAGTTATGGGCAGTAAGGCTACGTTTACAGGGCACCAGACAAATTTTCGACCGGATGCAAAGTTTCGCCAGACGCTTCATTAACAGAGGTTTGTTCAATGTTTTCACTATCTTCTCACGGAACTTTTAACACCGACTTACGAAATTTTGCACGCGAGGTCGGTCTCATAGAACAGCATCAATTCGCCTACTCCAAGTTTTCTTCAACGACAGTGGCATTGCTCCAAGTAGTAGACTCTTAGAAGTTTGCCATCGACGATGGTCTAAAGTCTGTTTGCGTTTTTCTAGACTTAAGAAAAAGCGTTTGATGTCATCAGGCACGATATACTGCTTGCCAAACTTGAATCTTATGGTATTAAAGGGAACGCTCCTCAGTGGTTTAATAGCTACCTGTTAGGCGGATCTCAATTTGTTGTATGTAGAGATCCGCTTCTAAGCTTCGACATCTCCCGTTTGGAGTCCCCCAAGGGTAGGTCCTGGGTCCAACTTTGTTTAAAATTCATATAAAAACAACATAATTATCTAAAGCATTTCACAATTCTGATGTTGCGTTATTCGCCGACGATACCGACATTCGAATCGGTTCCAAAGTCGTTGGCGAGGCCGAGTACAGACTTAATGAGGATCTCAAAAGTATTAACTAGTGGTTCTCTAATAACGATCTTCTTGGTAACACGAAAGAGACAGTGTCAATGGTTATTGCATCACACAGAGCCGTAAAAACGGCCAGAGATGTGCGTATACCTTACGGTGATTCGATTCTAGAGCAGAAGAGATCCTTTAAGAACCTCGGTGTGATAGTAGACGAATCGTAATCGTGGAACATTTATGTCGTCTCGAGAGTCTACCCTAAAGTTAAGCTGCTGAATAGGATATTGTCCTTTCTGGATACAACTACCCTTCTGAAGATTTATAAAGCGACAATTTTACCTATTTTAGATTACGGTTGTATTACCATTATATAAGGATCCTGCTCCAACAAAAAATCTGATTTTTTAAGACGATTATAAAACAAGTCTATGAGGACTATCTTAAGGGCAAACTACCTGACTTGTTCATAAACAATGATAGACAAACTAGGACTCTTAACGCTGTCTAACAATCAGCATTGTCCTTCGCAACGTCATAAATTATATATGACCTTGAGATCCGAATACCGTGGTAGGATCTTCAGGGATAGACGAGAAATTCATCTGCCTAAAGTAAAATCCACTATTGGCCAGTTTACTTTTAAATTCACTGGAGCAAAGGATCAATTACGGACTGATGGCCTAACTTTAGGATCTTTTAAAAGAAAAACATTTAAGTATTTGCAAGAACAAGACAAAACACAGAATAAACGTAGATTGTAGATTAATTCATTTTATTTACTTACTCATTTATTTATTTATTTATTTTTTTTAACGTGCACTTTTTCTATTGTATATATCAGTCTTTCCGCTTTTTTACTATGCGCTACTTTTTTAGTCGTGAAAAATTTTATTACTGCACATAGGTTTATAGCAGCTGTTTTTTTTATACTCAGCTGATCTATCATAATAAAATTATTATTAACTTTGAACGGATAGGCATTTGAATTCTTGTGCAGTTTAGGTGGTACCATGTCAACAGCAAACTCAAACACAGTAATTTTTCACCGATCAAAAGTTCATCCGGTGCCATATGAACAGCCTTAATCTTCCGTATTCAAATGGCAGGTTTTCATGCATACTCATTTACTTATACTCAGTCACTCTACTTAACCTCAGAAAACTGAGGTGTATCTTGTTGTCTAGGCATGGGTTATGAATTACAATGCTAAATGCCGAGAGGGGACTCCCATATACAAGTGACAGGGATGCTCATCGCTCATGGTCTCCCTTAGGGTATTTGGGACGGAAAGTCACTATATTTGCCCATTCAGGTATCATGTAGGGCTGTGCATAAAGAAATTTACAAAAAATGCTGTGACACTGATGTTAACATCTTTAGCACAATAAAAAAACAGTCTAGCTCTTATTGAGATATCTCTCTTAGTATGGTCTCTTTTAGGGGTCAAAAACCAAAGAAACCCTTACTGAGTCACACCTACATTATACCTGCCAACTTTTTCTGAGATGTAGGCGTGAGATTTTTATTAATTTTATTTTTGAATTTTTCCGAAGAACAACAAACTTCCGAAGACGTCCCTGCCGAAGGCGAAGGGCTTATCCACAAAATGGATCGCGAGGAAGGTTTGTCATTTATTCAAAATGGTTTTCGTTCGACGTGGGTCTGATTCAATTTTTGTTCACATTTTTCAATCAGGCGTGAGAAATTGGTAGGCGTATTAACGTGAGAAAGTTTTCTTAAGGCGTGAGAGTTGGCAGGTATAAACAAACCTTTGGGGATTCATTTTTTATTTTAACAGCTTCCCCCCCCCCAGGGCTGAATGGAGCTTTGTCTTAAAACGAAAGTGGACAGTCATTCAATGTTAATACCTATTTACAAATCTTAACGCAAACAAACCTGTCATTTATTTTAACATTGGTGTCTGTCATGGGATCATACTGAAATCTCATCAACTGAAGATGAAGGACTGGAGGAAATTTAGCAAAAATTACACCCTTCTTCGCTTCCTAGTATGAGACAATAAGAATACAAAAATGTATAGTAACACAGTGTAACCACGACATCTTTGACAATAATTATTAAAGGGGAAGAAACCTTTCTAAACTTTGCAATGAAAAGAAGCATCATTTTAATTCTTACAGTATTGATCTACTGGATATCACACACAACTTGAAAACTCAAATGGATTTGTTTGTCAGGTGTCTACCAATCTCACCAGGCAATTTAGTATTGGCAGCAGTAAACAATGATAAAGACAAAAACTTGAAATTTTAAATGATTCCTCCTGACTGCTAGAGTAAAAGGTTGTCAAATATGCATTTAACTGTAATCTTGGACAGAATGTTACTATAGGACCATTTGCTAAGTCACAAAAATTAACAGGACTAAAGATTCTGATTTAGGGCACTTACCATCAGAACTGACTAGCCAGACCAGTGCAGTCATAAAGAGAATTTCACTATTTTACTTTCCAGCCAGATCAGTTTATTCCCAAATGGTGTGCACAAAGGAGATGAGTTTTTGGATAATTTTTAAAAATTGTCCCGTCTGGCCAGCCACAAATGACCTTTAGAAAGCGCCCTTATTGACTATAATAAAATCCTCATCAGAAACCTTTGATAAAGAATTATACCGATATAAATAATAAGAACAATTTGACACAAACCTGAAGACCATATTCCCCTGCATCATACTTATTGTCACCATCTAATGTTTCCACAGCAATATACTCTTTAAAAGACTCATAAACTGCAAAGCAGTAACAGAAAGCTGTAACATCAAGGTATCCTATAGACCTGTTAACTTGTATGTTTTGTTTTCGCATTTTAGACCACAAGATGCTACCCCCAGAAAACTGTCTCATTTACGAAAAGATTACAGGCGTATTCCCTGCAGAACATCACATGTTCTGAATTGGGAAAACAAAACAATTACCAGCTCAAAAGGTGTATGTCTCAGACAAACAATTTATAATCAGCTGTTTTCTACCAAATAGCCTAAGTCACAACAGTGTATGTTTCAAGTTTATGTTCAGACTGAAATTAATTTTGCCGGCAACAATATTTTGGGATGAAAATAATAAGAACAAACCAAGGAGCAAAAGCTCAGGAAAATGTCTAGTAACTATTGTACTTTGAAGGAAAAAATGGTAACAGGCCCACAGTCAGTCCATTTAGGGTGAATATTTAGCCATTAATCACACAAGCACTTACTAATACTCCACATACAGAGTACCAAAAATACAGTCAAAACACTGTACAAATCTTCATGGAGGAGTTATTTTACTTACTGTCTTTCTTTCCTTTGACATTCAGTTGGATATCATAAAACGGTTCTTCCCTGAAATCAAAGACAAATTTCACAATACAGATACTCCTAAAAGAAACTGCAATTTTTGATAGCAACTGAAGTACCTGTAGTACCTTGGGTAGTTTTAGAATTTTGAGAATACCTTGGGAATTCGCTACATATTTTTTTTGCATGGTTATAGAAGTCTAGATGCGTGTATAATGCAACACAAAGAGTTGGAGCAATCAGGCAGAATGTACAGTAAGAACATCATTCTTTACCACACCAACTGCCTGAGGAATAGGTTAAAAGGAAACTTTTGAGGGAGGTCTCAAGCAAAACTTTACACCAGAGGTCTCCTTTTGTTATGGCCACTTTTGTTACTTGCCTAATTTTAAAAATACTTTGCTTACCTCTGTGATACATAGTCTACATTTGTACATCTGATATAGGACTATCAAAAGAAAACAAGTGCAATTAAAAAAAAATATATGGGAAGGAAAATAAGTTGAGAAAGAGTTTTCCTACAAAGAACAAAACAAAATTGCAAAAAATCACAAAACCGTACTCACCAACATTTTTCCTTCTAGTAATCTGGGAATTGTGCCCTGAAAAATTAATTCAGTCAACATGTTGAACATAATACAGTGATATTTAAATGTACATACATATCAAAAATAAGCAAGTGATAACAACACTGAAAATGACTGATTTTTTTTTCTTATGACACTACTCTTTTACCTCAAGTGCCTCAATACTAAATAAAATATTTCTAAACAGTTTTTGTTGTTACTATTGAAAGAAAAGATGTGTCCTCAGTTGGAACCCTGGTACATGTAATGACCTATTCGTGTTTTTGACTTCACCAAATTTACAGGGTAAGAGAGCCCACGGCTAGCTAAATTGTTATTCCTTGCGATAGCAGGGTTTGTGATCACGTATGACCCTAGACATGAGTTGAGTATGTATAATTTTATGTTGTAGTTAATTTTTTATGTCAGGTACTTTTTGTTTTTCTTTTGTTTTTGGGTATGGTAATGTATGCTAATGAAGTTGAAACAAAAGAAAAAGAAAAATTACCTGAGGTAAAAAAATTAACTACAGGCTCATATATATCTCCTTGGTAGCCACAGTCACCTAGCAACAAACCATAAACAAACTCTAAAAAGATGCTGTCTCACTTCACAGATAATTTTATGACTTCATAGGTTGCGGGATATGTTTGTTTGTCGGAAGTGTGTTTACAATCAAAACCTTGCTTTTCCCTGAAATTCAAGTTACACGAAGGCAAACTCTCAATAAATTGGTTCTTTCCCTGCCAATGTGACCAGATGGGTCAAAGACTGGTTTCACCTCCATACATCGATTGGCCGTTGAACCAAATAATGCAAAATGGCCTTAAAATATGCCTTTTAGCTTATTTTCCTTAAATGTATCTAAGAATGGATGATAAATACATCTCCACCAGCTTCAAACTGTCGTGCTTACCAACTAATTTGCATTATGACAATTAGCACTTACACAACGGGTGCAAGCATTCGCTTCTTCACAGTGCAAGAGCCTAGTTGACGTGTCATTTCCGCCCTGGCACCTGTCGTGTAAGTGCTAATTGTCATAATGCAATTAGTTGGTAAGCGCGACAGTGGTCACAGGCACAGGACGAAAGCCAGGTGTGCCTCGAAGTCCGGCACAAATGGCTCGATTTCATGGGGAAATTATGGATCTTTTTTCGAGCTGATCTCCCAGAGAGGAAGAAAAGGTTTCTCTCTTGGGCTGGAGATGAAAAGTTTGCAGTGGATTTGAATTTCGGCAAAAAAAACGGCTTTCTTGTTGCGACTGGTCCAGGACCCTGACAGATCGAACTGACCAGCCTTCACTTCGTTCTATGAAAGGAGTAACAGTGGTTACGCAATAAAGCCAAAACAACCAGTAAACGACAATCAGACACCAAAATGCAGTGGAATACATTGCAAGTAAGTCTTTTTTATTCATTTCACTAAAGAAAAAGTAAGGTTTAGCGTTATTTAGCATTTGCAGATCTCAATAATATATTTCGCATACGAAGTCTCTTATATTTTCTACGGTCGCCTGTAACGCGACACCGGCGCGTCACCTATGGTATGTAAACTACATTACACCCTTCCCTCGTAACATGAGTTTGGGCCGCCTGTGATCAAAGGGGCTAAGAACCAAAACAAAGTCATCGTGGATCCCAATTCACATTTATTAATTGACAATCGCAGTTTCTTCCCGCTTCTCCTCTCATTAGAATGTCGGTGGTGCAATGTTAAAGGGCATTAAGAAGCAGTTGTGGATGTAGGAAACTTTTGTTTCCAGGCATCTTGCGTTCAAATTGAAAACACATCAACACGTCCAATGCGATTTCTTTTTACCCCCTAGCTAGCGACTGAAGCCACTGCATGGCAGGCACAGGTTAGTTTTTTGGTTAGTTTTGCTCTTTTCGTCCGTAGAGCGAGGGCACGTCCTCAAAACTTCTCCCTTCACCCTAGGAAAACCGGTGCCTTCTGTGCCAAGGCTATAGTGATTGTCACCTCCAAGGCCTTTTGTTAGGGCAATTCACCCAGCCTAACACGAAAACAAAGCAACACGAGAATTGCCAAAGCGGACGAATTAATCCCAAAGGTCACTACTGGTCACGGGCAGTTTTAGGGTCTGGTCTTTAGATAGTAATTATTAACCAAATCAAAAACGTAACGTAAAGAAAGAAACCTACAGCCCTGTTCAATCTATCTCTCCTATATCACTGATTTTCATGAAATGTGACAAATAATCCACAAGTCCACACATCTTATGAGATAAACCACGCTTCACATCAATAACTGGTTTCACGGAGCATGTTCCTATTCTCGGAACTTCCACGCTTCATGCAACAAATTTGGGCCTAATCACACGTCATGCATAAACCCTTTCCTACCCTAGTGTTTGGGAGGTCATAGGTTCAAATCCTGTCAAGGACTCAGATTTTTTCTTTCTCCCACACTCATGACATGCTGATTATTTCATTTTCACATTTGTTTCACCCAGCTTAAAATTTACCGTCTTTCATTTCTTTCACCACACAATGCAACATCGAGATTGCCGATCCTAGCAGTATGCAGGATGCACGTCAAATATGAACCTAATATATGGCCTCACTCTCCATGAGTTCTCAGTAGCTCAAGTTGATAGAGTGCCCGCCCAGTGTTCAGAAGGTCATAGGTTTAAATCCTGTCAAGGACTCAGATTTTTTCTTTGTCCCACACTCATGACATGCTGATTATTTCATTTTCACAACATATTTCTAGTAGTACAAATTTTCCTTATGGCAAACTTTTTGTGCCTTACATGGCAAACAAGCCTTGTTATTGTAGTGATGTTTAATAATTGAAACATGAAGATAACTGACATACCTCTACACATGTCCCCTTCATTTTGCTTTCCATGTTGTCAATTAGCTAAAAAAACATTGAAAATCCATAATGTAGTGTGCAAACATTATGCACCATTACAAAAATGGTGAGACATGACTTGCATCAAGACATTAAAAAATAGCTCTCTAGAGCAGGGCTGTCATTAAGGGGCGGGGGCCGGGGATTTCCCCTGGCTACTATGAACGTGGCGCCCGGCTACTTTCAAAGGAAAATAGAAGAAAAGTAGAACCAAAAGAAACCCCTAGCTGTTTGATTCCCCGCCTACTTGTTGTTTTTACCCGGCAACTTGAAATCTTAGCGACAACCCTGCTAGAGAGAGCAAGTGCTTTTGTTATGTCTGTTGTGCAATATTGCAATTTTACATTTTGTATTACCTTGCTTTGTCATGTAAGCATGAAACATAACCTGTTTTGTCAAAGATAATACGGTGTGACAAGGTGACGCTTTATACTTATCAGACGCATCAAGTTACACTTCAACTTTCTGTCATATAGCATGCCAATGACAAGTACTGAAGAGAAAATGAAACCTTTCTTCTTGCATCAGAAAAGAATTTTTTTAAAACAACAGGTCACGCTTATTTTTCAGACACAACAGGTTACACTTCACTTTCACATTACGTAGGTCATACTAATGACCACAGTAATCCCTTTTTTTGCAAAATTTCTTTTTACAAGAAAAGAATTAATTGATATACAGGCATTGTAATAAGTTACAAACAACAACTAGAATATAGTATACTGTCTCTCCTTGTTTATCAACTGAATCGTAACAGTATTTGGCAGCCGGCCTTCAAAATTATTGTTTTTCGTATTTACCAACATTGCAAACATTATGGACTTACAACATCACTTCAGAGAGTTTCAGTTTCCATGGAAACTATAAACACAAAAATAATCATCTTACCACTCGGCAAAGTTCCTGAACATCATGCTGCATAAAACTATCCAGGGTTTCCCATCTAAAAAAGAATTCAAAAAAAGGAAAGATGACAATTTTGAAAGAAGGTTTACAGGGTAACATTCACATAATAATTATAATTAGGATGATTAGCTAATATCCTTGTACAGCGTAATTTAACAGGTCTCTGTGTCACCATGTGAATGCATTTCACAGTGTGACTATTGTAACCAGCAGGGTCACTTAGACAAAATTCACCAATAAATCTGATCACAGGAAACTTAACAATGCATGCACATACTAACAAAGAGGTTAGTCTTTGAGCCTGGGAATCAATAAGCTACTCAAAGCCCAAAATAACTCTTATTAGTCAAGTTTTTGGTCCGTACTGTAAATTATGGAATGATTTTTTTTCCATGGATTTATGGCCCAAGAAAGAAGCGCACTGGCCATAAATCAATGAAAAAAAAACAAGGATCACTTAATTTACAGTACAGACTGAAAAAAACGAGGCTAACAAAATGTTTATTATATGACTTCCTGTTTGGGGGAAGGGAAACAAGTGCAGGACAACCGATTTGATAGACAGGCATCAAAAAAGGAAAGTTTTAACTGGCTTACGGAAACAATAGCACACCACAAAGGCTTTTCATTGAAAGGAAAATGAAATTGCCAAAGTGCATGTTGAAAAAGCTTAAATGGTCAAAACTAAGAGCACAGTAAGCATTTGCTCGCCAATGTGACACTAGAGTCTTGAAAACTGGACATTGCGTCTGACTTGAAGTTGCTTCTATCTCTCTTTCGTGGGTCTTTGAGAAAAACATTGCAAATGGCAAAGAAGCTTGTCAAGATGATCTGGAGCAGGTATGTTTGCAGGAATGTTTGTTATCATACATGTATTTGTCGAAGGAATCGCTTGTTTTCCCTTTATAAGCCAGTCGACTTTCGTCTTCTTAACTGTGTACTGCGATAAAATTTTCAAACACTGACTAGAATTCTCTTCTGTGATAAGATTATGATTCAGTTTCTTAAATGCTTTCCTTCACAAATAAACACAGATTAAAATGTTGAAGGACAAAGTCAACATCCAATTCCTCAAGGTTGACAGACGTCTTTCTTTAACCTTAAGATTAAGAGCTGCAAAATGATAATTTTGTTCTTGACAGTTTGGTCTGTATAGGAAGTTACGGACTACAAATTGACCAATCACATGGGGAAAACAGACTTAGCCATGTAATAAAATAAATTATTGTTAGGAAGAATGTACAAGAAGGCCAATCATTAGACAAAGTTTTCCATGTTTGTAACTTTGCATAAACTGTGCTCCTCTGGAGACCTATTTGTTTTCACCAAGCTGTGAGTTTGGACTCATACATTCCGCAAATAAGTTACCATCTGCATCTGGGCCTTAGTTTATGTTCTGTCTATTACTTAGCATAACAAGTCATCATAAAATCACTACAAGTATACACCTATTTCAATTAAGGTTGCTTCAGAGAAGAATGATGCATGATCCATGTTTCATAGCCCACGGTGCATTACTGTAGCAAGTCTAGTAAGTTTTGTACCCGCAATGAGCCTTGAAACCTAGAAAGCAAATGCCGCTGACGCTTCTATGCTAGGTCAGCAGAATGTTAAGACAATGTATTGCAAAACACTGAATCCTAGGCTTTTTAACTTAGACAGTAATTTGAGGTTAGGTTTTTCTCTGTGGTAATATGCAAATCCTGCAAATTTTCAACGAGTTTGCTTGGCTCGTGCATGTGGGAATTTTGGATGGAGTTTAAAAATATCAAATTCAAGGTGTTTGTTCATGAACTACGATAAATAACATTTACGCAAATATCTCTTTTTGAATTTTTTTAAAACTGAATAGAAAAAAGAATAGCCAGTTGATATGATTTATTGACACCAGCATTCTGGCCCATGCGAAAAGCAGCTTAGTCAGGCGGTAAAACCCTGTTAATTCAATGTTGTTAAAAGAAGAAGCTTCTAATTTCTTACTGCGAGATTTTAAAAATGACATTCTTCAGCTCGCTCACGCTTAAGAATTTTAGCAGCCATTTGACTTGAAAGCTCTCTTGAACGCCTTCTCACAAAATAATGGTCTCCATTATTTCAATGAACGTGAACAAGACTAAACTTCCTGCTACAAAAGGGTTTACCATAGTGCACTGCAGGCTATGAAACATGGTTCACAGGAGCAACCTTAATTGAAATAGGTGTATCTACATTTGGTTGTAATACTGTTTAGAGAAATTTACCCAAATGATCTTGTCAGCTTCTTTGTACCAACTGCTTTGTCACTACAACAGACGACAAAAAAAAATTCACAAAATTATAATAGAAAAGCTGTGGATGTTTTGTTTACTTAGCCAAACATGCACATTATACCCTGCAGTTGTGTTAACTGCCTGCATCAACACCAGTGTGCCTAAACCCAAACATTTTACATGAATAGATTATTAAAAAAGTAACTACAACTTGACTAACCCACTAATGACAGAAATGATGGATATAACAGCATGACAAATGCTCAGAGATAATAAACAGAGTGATATAGAAACATGTTTAAGGTGAACAGAAAACATCAGTCTGTACCACTTAAACAAGTTGTTCCTTTACCGCATGTAATTACCTGTTTATTACACCTACAAAAAGGAAAAATTATAGCTTCATCCATAATAACATCATCTTCTGGATACTTTCTACAGCACAATGTATTTGGAAAACTTTTCAGTTTGAATCTGCTGCTTGCCATTATTTTTGCCATAAATGTGATTCTAACTCTCTCTTACAATACAATAATCAAACCTGTGTTGAAGTTCATAAAAAGTTCTTTGAAGAGCAAAAGCTACACTTCTGTTTGGGTCATCATTTTCTGTTGGCATCTGGTACACAGCCTAGGAAATTTATTAACCAAGTTATTTCAACACAAAATATTCAAACTAGTAAAATACAGTATAATAAATTATAATTAATCAAAACTTTCTTTTGTAAACAGAAATGACTAACAATAAAGCAAATCTATTAAGCTGTCCAACCTTTCTTAATTTATTTGTGAAGTATAATGTCTGCAACAAAGAATTCATGTAACATGTTGCCCCTTGATTCTTGAGTCCCACAAACCCTGTGTGTTTCTTGGAGTCCCATCTACAGAGAGAAGACCGTACAATAATTATTAGTGTTCAATCACATTTTAAAAACAGATAAAAATGACTTTATATACAGGTTGCGCACAAAATTACTGTTGTCAATGATGCCCAAAAACTGATAAGGATAGAAGCAAATATTGAAAGAAACATAACAACATTAATAAATAAAAAATCCCAACTAGCTGGAGGCAAATCAGCAGGCTGTTATTAGTGTAGCCAAGGAGATCAAGGAGATGAACTTGGGTCTACTAAGTAAAAATCCAGCTAGTGGTTATGCCTGTGGGGGGGGGGAGGAAGGGAGGAAAGGGGGGGATAGGATCTCTGGATTGCAATTTTCATCTGCTTGGTCACGCTGCCTCCTGTACACTGAAAGGTGTGCAAAACAGACTAACAAAATACTCAGCTTCATAACATGACAACTGCAACACAATCACTCTTATATTAAAATAAACAGCGGTCAAAGTGGGTCTTCAACTCAAACCTAGATACAATAATAATGATCAAAAAAATTACTACAGTAATCTTATCTCCTGGTCAAAACAGACAAAGTACAAATCATACTTACGCAACTCCATGTGGGGCTTCTGCTGCAACATGGACTTCCAGTACAATACTGTCATCTTTTATAAAACCCTTATTAGGATCCAGAGCATCCTATAGGGGCAGAAACAGCAAAAGAAGATTAGTTATAGATCAACTTGCTGATCAGTAGTTACAAATGTATAACTAGTTAAAACTGTGATGCTGTAAGTACAATAATTATTAGTCAGTACAAAATACAAGAAAACAGATATAAAGCCTACAGGTAAGAGATGGAATCTGTTACATGTAGTTGCACACAATTGTTCCTTCACTGGGCTACTGAAAAAAATGATTTGCAGGCAGTGCCAAGGCAAAAATTTCAGGAAAGCTAATTTGTGTCAAAAATGTAGTGTGAAAAGAGAGATGGTCATTGGGAAATGCATACTAATTTGCTTACTTCTTCTAGCCAGAAGTCTACTTAAAGAAAACAATCCTCCCATCTTTACAGTCAATACCTGTATTAATTCAATGTGCATCAAAACTGATCTGGAATTATTAGATACTAATCTCACTCAAAACATGTTAACTCCACATCCAAATCCTCAACTATCATATTGGAAATACATGTAACCACTTCTACTGCCATCAGAGCTGTCATTAAAGAGGTGGGGGCTGGGGATTTCCCCCAGCTACTAAGACCATGGCCCCCGGCTACTTTCATGGGAAAATAGAAGAAAAGTGGAACCAACAGAAATCCCTAGCTGTTTGATTCCCCACCTAGTTGTTGCATTTACCTAGCAACCTGAAAACTTAGCGACAGCCCTGGCCATGCATTCTTCAAAGGCACACCACAATGGCAGGCATCAATAGAATTATTTCAACCACACATATATATATATATTTGTAAATAAGTTACATGTACAAGATTTGTAACTATCTAAATCTTTTTACAATTAAAAATTACTGTGAACTTACATTCCATGCCACAAAATGACTAAAGCCCCAATCATTTTCCTTGGAGAAGAAAAGATGTGAAATTTCTACAAAGAGAAACATATCAATAAAGTGAAACATTATCAAAATGGTTTCTTTTAAGAAAGAAACACCACATTCAATCATGGGTGCACACCACACCCAATCTTCCTGACACCAAAATTTCTAAGTAATTACAGAGAAATCAAACTAAATATAACAGGTTTGTCCTATATACATGTATACTATTACTCTTAACATCATTGTTTGTTTGCAGCTTAAGACAAAGACCAGACAAACAGACACCTTGTGAATTAAGTGGAAATTGTGCTGTCTAGAACAGCCTGGAATTTAATGAGTCCAAATTTTGGTCGAGATGTAGATGGTCGAGGGTAACATGTCTAGGGTCGAAGCTACTGCGTCGAGGGCCGATTTTTTACCTCAAGGGTTCATTTTTTTATGCTCAGTTTTCTTTTTCAATTTTTATTGTGTTTTTTAGGGAAGTGACGAGCACCAGACACACAAAAGTTCAGTTTTTATTAGTGCTGGCCCAGAGTGCTGACAGATGCATTGTAATACCAGTAGTTTCCAGTAAAAAGTGAAGTGCTGCGAGTAAAGCATGACATTTCAAATAATTTGCATCAGTTGCAGTTTAATTTGATTGTTGATATTTGACAAAAAACTGTGCATGTAACAGTACGCTACACGACACGAAGGCAATCGATAAAACCTGAACTTTGAACCAAAATAAGTGTTTATATCAAGCTACATTGTATAAAAGCGCGTGAAAATAAATCAGTGTATTATTTGTCTGAAACCTGTCCACGATAAAGTTAAGAACATGTGTTTGTAACACTGTTTATAAATGTATAATAATAAAAACTCACTTCTGCTGAAGTCCTCTCCTCCTTCCTGTTGGGTTACAAGTGTTAATCTTGCGGACGCTTGACAAGACCATGATCTATAGAAGAACAAACAATCTGAGTGGTAACCATGGATCTAGCATTAAAGAATAAAGTACTCTCTTGTTACCGTTTGTTACCGTTGTTGGTTGTGCGCTTGCTTACTTTTATTTACCCAGTCACTCCTGGGAAGTTTGTGGAAAAACACCCTCACTACATCTGGTTATGAAGAACCAAAAATGGCCAAAAAGCTGTTGACACATCACACAATTCAAGGTCTTATGTTTATAACTTTATAAGCATCCAAAATTCAGGCCTACACAAAAAGCAAAATTTTATGCTCATTCTGGCATGCTTTGAAAGATCTTTCCCCCTAAAAAAGTTTAGGAAGAAAGGAAACAAAGCAAATGAGTTAATAAAGCACACCACATATATACTATTGGTTATGAGACAAATTCTCCTTAAAATATACGTACTGGAATTAAATGCAATCTAGTAAAGACTTCTATTATTAAGAATTGAATGAAAAAAAGCTCCACTCATTCTGTACATAAGCAGCCTATATTTTAATACTGTTTTTTTGCTCAGAAAATGAAAAGTTAGTTGCCCAACATAACAATGTACCTGCCCCAGACAACGAGGGCTTTATAATTTGCAATGAATTTACTAGCGAGATGTTAAAATTTAAAACTGGCCGCTCAGTTTTCTCCTTGAATTTTTAAAATTCAAAAGCCTAAAACTCTTTTCAATCTGACCAAAACCACAACGCAGTTTATAATAATAAATTTATTGACAATTCATTATGCATGATGCAAGGCAGATTTGAATTTCAATTTCATACTAGTAGCAGCAATGACTGATCAATTCAATTTTGAATTAATCTGTTTATTGATCTTTGGGGTATGTTCTGGACATTGTTCGACTGTATAAAAAAATTCAGCCTCTAAACTTAGCTGTAGCAAGATCTGACAATGTAAAACACAAGAAGAGCACCAACACACTTACAATGATTCTGCCTCAGGATTGCACTGCAGAAAAAATCCCACACTCTTGACTTTTTCATGATTAGAGTATCTTGGCATACACATGATACGCCTACAACAAAATAGACAAATTCGTCAGCAACCCACGATATGTCATGACAGGGGCTTTTGTTACTTTTGGGGAACCGTCACTTTAAAGAGGAAAAAAATAACTGGATGCACAAACATAAAGATGAGGTTACACAACAACATGACAAATGTACATGTAGACACCAAATGTAGAATGTAAAACAAGCAAAAAAACATTAATTTTTGTTTAGTTATTTTCTGTATTCTTTTCACTTACATGTGAATTTACAGTACTTACCTAAAATCCAAAAAATTACTAAGAAATGCCCCAACTGCAATATTCATTGTTTGTATCTAAAAGATGCATCCACAAGTGCAAATAATGGTCAATTATTGACCAGTATTTGCACTTTTTGCATTCTTTTTTGTCAAACATACCATAATATTTTTTTGGGCATATTAAACTCATCATTTTGCTGGTGCACTTACTTGTTTTCCTCTACAGAATGACAGTCCCCTAATGAGCAAAAGCCACGATATGTCTAGAACTCGTTCTGATCTCGTCTTGTTTCTAAGTGTAGTCCCCAACCTTTTCCCCACACGTTGGGTGATCAAAAACAAAAGTCCCTACATTTTCCGTTCTTCCTAACCCTAACTCTAAAAGGCATAATTAATTCATTGCAGTTCTCAATTTTCCACCCATTGTCTGGGTGCCCCCTCCCCACCCCCTTCCACCGCATTATTTTGGCTTTTGTTACCTTTAGGGGACCATCACTTTAAAGAGAAAAAAACTTATCTAAATGCATGAGCAAAATGACGAGTTTACCCGACAACATGACAAATGTACGGGTGCGTATGTTACAGGTCAAAATTAAATTCAGGTGAAATTTTTTTAACCTAGGTTGATTCCCTATTTCCTTTGTCTCCTAGCCCTAATTCATAAATAATTAGGGCTAGGAGACATAGGAAATTGAGAATCAGCCGGGGCAGGGCTGAAAATAACGGACAGCAGGTCGCCAGTCATGATGACCGGCCAAATATTTTTTAGCCCGGACAAACCCCAATTCTAGCCAGTCAAATAATGAATACTGTGATATTTTTTGCCTAAGGAGTATCGAATTAGCCGGCAATAGATCGTTATTACTACATTGACTGTCAGGTTTTTGGTGGAAAGTTGGTGAAAATGCATTCACACATTGTAGAGTTCCCTTCCTCAGTTTTCGCACATTTTTATGTCCGTTCTACCTTAAGTATAATCGTATGGCAGTGTCTGAAGTTTCTAAAGGTAAATGTAAAGGGTAAACTCTTTTCAAACTCTCAAGGTTTTGGAAATAGAATACACATACCATCAAACAAACTTTAGGAATTATGAAAAAAAAATTGATGTTCTGCAGTGATGTTCAGAAATGAACATCAGTGAAAGTTGATCTTTTTCGTTGACTAGCACATGATCAAAAGTCTCCTCCACAAAGAAGAAACGACACTAATATTTTTGGCAAAGACTGAAGTTGATTTGGTGAGAAGTCTGTTACACAGACAGTGTGTTTATTATCAGAAGTGAATAAATATACAATAGAGCTTTCATTTGGGTCATCGCACAACACTTTATCACGAAGCCTCAAATGTTAACAGAAATTTGCATAAAGCTGTTTACAAGAAGTAGGGCTACTGATATTTCGTGGAAAAAAAAGAAAAATTTTGCGGGATTTTCAAGGGCAATTTCGCGGAAAAATTGGCCGATTTCACGGGATTTTCGCGGGAAAAAAGTCAAAATTCGCGGAAAAATCGGCCATTTTTGCCGGATATTTGCGGGAGAAAGTCAAAATTTGCAGATAAATTGGCCGATTTCGCGGGATTTTAGCAGAAAAAAGTCAAATTTTGAAGGATTTTCAGGGGCAAGTTCTTAGAAAAATAGGCCAATTTCACGGGAAATTTCGGGGGGGGAAACTTCGCCGAGAAACAATCAGTAAAAAACAGCCGATTTCGCTGGATTTTTTTTGGCAGATTTCGCTAAAATCGATCAATTTTGCGTCGATATGAGCAGCGTTGTTTAACACTTTTTTAACAGGGATAATCATTTGCTATTTCAACAACAGTTCGCTCGAGAAATGAGCGAATGCTAAAGCTATTATCATTATGGTTAGTGCCCAGTTTTTTGCAACATTAATCTAAGAACGCCTGGTAGTTTTGGGACGTTGTTTACTTGTTGCAGTGACGAAGTTTCAAGATAAATTTGGATGTTTGGGGTGAATAAAACAGGTCTAAAAGCCAAGATAAGTATTAAATATGTTTTGCCGACATGTATTTGGAAATATTTCTGGCGGATTTGGCGGAATTTCGCGTTTTTTGGGGAATTTCGTGGGATTTTGCGGAAATACCTGAATTTCACGGGTCCGCGACCATGCGAAATATCAGAAGCCCTGAAGAAGGAAAATTAAGCGCCAAGATAGAAGACATTCATTCTCCATTAGCTAAAATTTTAACAGACTATTCTGGAATTGAGTCCGCAAACGAGAGCCATGTTTGACATAAAGAAATTATTATTAATCCATGCACCAACATTTATTCCCAAAGAAACACAGGATGACCTGTTAAGAATTGTGATCGATTTGCCCGAATTCCGTCGAATATATCACTGGACAGCAGGCGATTTTCACAATGTTCTTACAAGTAAAAGTCAAACATTAGGCATTAGCTGTTCAGCGAAATTAACCATTAGATCATAAGAACAGTCCGTTTGAGCATTAAAATCGTCAGAGCATTGGACAAACCGTACGTAAGAGCACTAGCATTTGGGCTCACCGTCAGTGCTTTTCGGCAAATCATTAGCTATCCTTTAGTTTTCTAACGGATAACGGATTATCTTTAGTGTATGTTCTCTCACAGAAGGTCACATAACTGATTAAAGCAAACAGAAAGTAAAGCCCGTACCACCTGCATCATTGTGTTACTCCACAACTCAGTTTGTTGCTGTTTTGCTTTGTTGCTTTTCAGTACGACATGACCACATGAAATTTATGGCAGCGTTCTTTAAAGCAGCAAAAAAGCCAAAGAAAAAAGAAATCATTACAGCATTGTAGAACATTAAGCGACAACTGTATGGAAAATAACATGTTTGTATCCAAAACTGACCGGTCAAAATGACCGGCAAGACAAGAGTTTGACTGATCAAGTCCACAATCAGGCCAGACATTGTCCGTTGACCGGCCGTTATTTTCACCCCTGCTGGGTTAAAAAATTTTAACCTGAATTAAATTTTGACCTGTAATATATCAACCCTCCAAGTTGCAACCATTTTAGTTGCCATGGTTCCTAAAACTATGCAGCTGGCAACTTGATTTGTAAAAAAGTCTCCCTAAACCAAAAGAGTTGGTTGCCAAATGGCGACCAAGCAAAAACTTTAACTTGGAGGGTTGATATATAAGCTAGATGTCGAATGTAGAATAAGAAAAAACTTTTATCCGTCTTAGTTAATTTCTGTATCATTCTGTCTTGAATCTATGATAAATTGGCTAAAAGATGCATCCAGAAATGACCAATACTTGCACTTTTTTCATTCTTTGTTGTTGAATATACGACATTTCTTTTTTTCCTAACATTAAATTAAACTCGTCATTTTGTTTTCCTCTATAGAATGACAGTCGACTAAAAGTAACGAAAGCCATTATTTCGGACTGCATTAATGTCTAAAAAGTCACGAAACGAACACAAATTCCTCCTTAAAAACAATAGTAGGTAAAATTTCATTAATCTTTCCAACAATTGGACATGGTGGCATTTACAGATGTATGTCCGAGCTGAAAATTAGGCATTCTAACAGTTTTTCTTCTAGGTAATCTAGGTAGTTAAGTCAAGTGTTATTCTCTAATCCTTTTCTCTGGCAAGTGTTTAAGTACATTACTTACATCCAAAAACGAATTAAAATAAAAGCAAGAGGATGCACAATCTTATGACACTGATCTCTCATGGACAGAAGCTAATCAGATTAGCACTACGCTTATTGCAGCATTAATAATTCATTTATAACATAGAGCTCTTAGTATCAGATGCTGCGAGTTAAGAACCACTCAATTTAAGAAAACTTGTCTTCAAGTCCAGTATGTTACATGTCTAACTGTAAACAATGACAAATCATCACAACAAACGAAAATGTATCAATTTGGTTTCCTTACCATGGTAAATTCCTCACGTATATAGGATCACTCAAGGTAGTTTTGTCAAGTTTGCTAAAATTGAGCACAGTGAAACGAATAATTCCTTCAGGTCTTGCTGTATCCTCCTCCATTATTACGTCTTGAGGTTCACTGGGGGAAGAAACTCCATTTGGTACTGAAGAATCGTCAACAGCATCTACCGGGAAACGTGTGCAAACATCAAATCCGGTCCAGATCTCTTCGTTTCATTTAACACGTACACTTGAAACTTTATATTAGTCTTTAACTAAACAGTGGCCACAAATTACCACTATCGAAAGCATACCTTCTTTTGTATCCATTTCCTCTTGATCACTTTCATTTTCGGTCGTATTCATACTTTCTTCTTCGTCTTTGGAGTTACGAATTTTGGGACGGTTTTTCGCCGAGCGAGTCCCAGTCACAATCTTGATGTGTTTACTAGCTATGCGGCCAATTGCGCCCCACAATCCCGAACCGGGAAACACGGCGATGTACGTCTATTGCATCAAAGGTTTTTCTACAAATAGGTACCGTGGATGATGGCTACAATGTGGACAAAAAAAAGAGTCTACTAAGTATACCAAGTAGCACTGATATCGTCCTCCATTGTGACATTTTAAGTTCAGCTAACTCGCATGGAAGTGTGGGTAGGGTACATGCGCAGTTTGTCACAACATTTTACTGTCACCACTCTAGTGGAGGGGTTCTAGTGGATTGAATAACTACCGGTATTACTTCGGCGTTACCCTGCGAGCTGAGGCCCTTCGATCTTAGGGCTTCTGCTCGCAGGGTACTTTGGCGTAAGGCGAAGGGAAGGATTCGCGACGTTCAGGAATGTCCCAAAGCTGATACTTTTGGGACAAGACTGGGCACGCAAAGTCTGTAGGTTTTCGGTTTTTTCGATTAGTTGTCGAGGTGAGGGCCGAATTAGTTCGAGATACTCGAGATCACTTCGATTTCTTTGATTTACCGTATTCCTTAACTTATTCGAGGAAGAAAGAATTATTATTTTGGCTTTCCCGGGGTTTGAAGCGGCTCACCTGTGTGACCCATCAGGTCAGAGGAGACTCTAAGTTGAGGGATTAGCCGATTGCGCTACTGCGACCCAGGGTAGTTCGGCATATGAAAAATAGTTATGAAATTATGCATTAGTTTCGGGACAAGATTGAGCGCGCAAGTTCGTGACTTTTCGGCTTGTTTCGGCTATTTCACGAAATGAGACCAGACTACTTCGTGATATCTTGAGATCACTTCGAGTTTAGTCTTAAATTTACTCGAGGAATAACTGTAGAGGATATTACATGGCCGAGCAGAGACACGAAATTTCTCTTCGAGTGTTGAAAAACATTTCACGAGTGATTGCTCCTTTCCAACTGTTTTATGATGAATTTAAATTTTCAAAATGCTGCACAAAGACGTTTTGTTTGTTGAGTGTTAACTAGTAAATTTATTAGGGCAAGTTTACATTTCATCATGAGTCAGCAGATTTGCATCAACTACTGGAATCATAAAATATGTCGAAAAGCTACTACTATTCGCCTGTTTAGTATTTTTTAGAACCTTATGTCAAACGGTATACACGTTCCCAGCGAGTTGTTTTGACGAACTAAGTTTTTTCCCACGAACTGGAGTGCTGTGTTTAGTCAAGTGTGACGAAGTTCGATTTTCAAGTTCTGTGTTTACAAGTTGGCGGAAGTCGTAAGATATCTGAAGAATCTGAAGTTCAAGTGAGAATTTTTTATTATTGGCAGAGCCTGTTTAGTTTTACTTAAGTTCAAGTCAAGTTTGTGTTGGCAGATGCTGTGTTTTAAAGCTCTAGATCTGAAGACTATGTTCCTTTGATGAACTTCCCTGTATTAATCCGACATCCCTGCGTGCTGATAGTCAGTGAATAATTATCTTCAAAACATTCGAACTCGTAACACTCGAGTTTTAGCCAATTTCATGCTCAACTTAATTGACCCCTTACTCATGCCTTACATTTCTTTAATCAGTCCATGAGACTGCTATGCTGTTTTTGAAGCCTGATGTAAAAAAATAGAGAATTCTTTTTTCACTGTTTGTTCTGTGAGACTTGTTATTCACCGCCAGTAACGTCATATTTGATTTAGGTCTAAACGTTTAGACCCAAGTCAAATTTAAAAGGATTTGTATAGAGTCATCAGAGCATAACTGGGCTAAAATTTTAGAGGCAATTTGCCCCGAAATGCAAGTTTTTGGCAAGTAGGCCTCTTGGATGTTGCTCTTTTCAGAATATCCTGGCAAATCCCATAATTTCACAAATTATCACCTTACTTTTACCATATTTCATTTGTTACTATTCCTCCCTATTTACAATTAATCAGTTCCACAAAGAGGACGCCGAAGTGTACGCTCCAAAGCTTCTTGTTTAAGCTACTATTGTTCTTTGACTTTTTGTTATTTACTCGATTAAAAACGCCGCATCTGAAACCCGCGCGGCGTTTAACCGGATAAATCCGGTATACGAATATAGACCAGTCTTGATTTCTTAATTGTAGTAGCCTATATATAGACGCCCCCTCCCCTCAGAAAAAAATCGGGGGAGTCTATACATAGGCTAAATCGTTTTTGAGATGTTTAACACTCTTTAAAGCAAAGTTGACCAGAGAATTTAGGAAAAATTGCCTAACGCTATGAAACGGAGCAGTTATTAGACAAGTAAGAAAAGCCTGAAACTCTGAAAAACACAACTTCGTTCCCAGGATCTAGCCCGCTCCACTAACGGGGCTGATAGGATAGCTGATAGGAACACCGATGATCAGAATGAAAGAGCACTCGCCAATGCCATCAGTATACCTATGAGATCTCTGGAATCGGGCAACGCTCAAGAAGAAGCATTGATGGCCTTGTTCACTAAACTTTACCCCTTCGTTTCCACTTAAAAGATTTACCGAGTGGTAAGAAATTTGAAGATTCTGACGAAAATTTTGCCAATTAGTGGAGACCTTGGGATACACCATTTTCGTGTACGGATACAGGTAAACTACCGGTACGCGTAGCCGTAAATACGGGTAGATTGCCTCTT